TACCCTCGAGGTGTGGTAGTTGCGTTGCTCCACACAAATTCATTTCAGTTGATTAATTTTCACCCAAAATGCACCGTCCTGAGCTAATCATTGTACATGCATTCTTTTCAATTAATTAATTATCAAGGGAGGGAGAGGGAGGGGGGAGGTTGGGGGAGGGGAAAGGAGAGTCAGGGGGAAACAGAAAATCCAATCCTGCTGGTCTAAAGTCTCAGAGCAATGGAGCATTAGTCTCATCCTGATGTAATTGGAATGACACCAAGAGTAAAGCCGGCTGATTTAGGGACAGCCTCTAGGCTTGATTTAATGCCCTCTACCAAAACTATACATCCATCTTTTTATCTTTCTCTCCTTCCCTCTCCCAGGCCCTCCGTTTTCCTTCATATTCCTCCCCCACCCTGCCTCGCGGTATTCACTCACCAGCCACTGCCGTGTATCTCCATCTGTACTCTATTACCAGCATAGTAGCTGCATTTTATATTTTTTTAAAGCCAGAAGGCTATAAACTCCCAAAAGAACGTGTATTTTGTCCGCATGATACTTACTTCTTATGACATTTACACACTTGAATGGTTATGTTTTACTCTCACAGAGGTTATGTTTTAATACTGAATAAATATCTCCAGAGAAGAGTACAAAGAAAGGGCAGACTAAGCAGGTGTATCCAGGCCAGGGTGCTGCGTCCCCGGGGTTTGCTGCTGCTCAGTCCCCTGACAGATGGACTGCCAGGGCAATCCTATTACCCCCATGTGTTTAGTTGCTCTTAATGCCAGGGTGGGTTGCATGGCTAATGGAAGACAATGAATGTTTGGAGGGAGAATCTCATGCTACTGAATGATGATCATCCCGATTTGTTTAATAACATGACAGAGATCTAAAACCAGTGAAGAGGCAGTGAAAATGATAACCATGACGACTTAGTAGCTCAGTTACTGTACTCAAATACAGTTTGCCTCACTGAAGGATGTCATATCAAATCAGCTCAGCCACTAAATAGGCTTTACTGTATATATTTCACATAGTGGTTTCATCCTTGTCCAGCAATGTTGAAGAAAGTGACTCTCTCTCTCTCTTTCCTTCTGGACTCAAATTATTTTAAAAAGTCTAATAGGGCATGTAACTCAGCACAATATCGTACACAAACCAAATCATGGCATTTATTAGTAGTAAGAGTTTCATGCTCCTTCTGTTCCTGATACAACTGTGTTCTTTAGTGCTCCACAGTTTCATAATGCTCTTTGTGCCTTTACAATAGGTTTGGACTCTATAACTGTATATCCCATGATCTCTAACCATGTCTATGGTTAGAGATTTTGCCATTTCATTTATGTTGTGGTAGCTCTTCCTTTTAATCTCTGACTGTATTAAATCCTTGTGGGCAATATTATAAATCAATTAGCAGGAATGCTTTATCACAATATACAATACAATACAATCCTGTGCAGTCTCGTGTGAGATGACTTTTCCTCTAGTGCTGTCATCAAGTCAAAATTTCTATTTGTTTTAGTTTTCTGAACAAATATCAGCCTCAGCTTTACTTTGTATTGTGTAGTACTAACTAGCAAATGTTAGCATGCTAACACACTAAGATGGGGAACATGGTAAAGTTAGACCAGCTGAACATCAGCATGCTAACATAGTCATTTTGAGGATATTGTCATGTTAGTGTCAGCATTTAGCTCATAACACCCTAATGTCTAAGTACAGCTTCACAGAGCCACTAGGATGGCTGTAGACTGTTAGTTTTGTGACTTTGCATCAGTGTGGTGATGATGATGGCAATGATTTGTCCGGCACTTCATTCACCGGTTTAGCCAAAAACAGACATTCCTATCTGGTTGTTTTACCCATAAACAGCAGACAGTACAGAAATGTTACTTAATGGAGTGGCAATAGATCAGTCAGTAGGGACATGACTTAGGAACCTGCTGTTTGCTGGTTCAAGTCCAGCACAGACCACAGTATAGAGTGTGGACTGGTAGCTGGAGAGGTGTCAGTTCACCTCCTGAGGCGCCGGACCCCTAAGTGCTCCCAGAGCGCCGCTACGTCTGCACATTTGCATGTCTATAAGCCCTATGTGTGTGTACGGTACTGTATTTCTGGCCTATGTGTGAGAGAAGATTTTCCCTTTGGGGATTAATAAAGTTAATCACCTTCTTCCTATTGTCACGATATTGCAATACGAAATTACAGATGGTATTAGATTCGATTTTCCACATATCACCCACCCCTACTCCTGGCTGCTGACAGAAGACTGTATGAGTTTGTCGTTTTGATTTGGAAAACAAATGAAAATCTAAAAAAATCCACATTAGTTTTGTCTTTTTATCCTAACATTCAGAGGAAATTTCATTTAATTTGTCATTATCACATTGCAAAAGGTGTTTGGCCTTAATGGTGTATCTTTGATACAGTTTCATGGACTGGTTTCCCCAGATCTTTTGTTTTGTATAACAGATATGATTAACTTACCGTTGTGAAGGAACCCAGCCTACAATTGAATCATTGTCTACCAGTTAATTACATTTATTGCACTATGATAAGTATTCCACTTTTAGTTGCTCCATTATTTATAATTTATCAATCCCGAAATATGATTAACAATATGGGTTTGCAATAGATTTTGTATTGATTTATCTTAATCTCATATTTCTTGGATTAACTGGATGAAATTAATCAATATCTTCACCTATTTAAACCAGACATTACCCAGTGGTCAATATAACTTGACTGCAATATTGAGATATGAGGGAACTGCAGTGAAGGTGGAGTATTGTGCTCTGCAGCTGCTGTGTAGTTATATATCTTTACTCACGTATACATGTGTGTGCATGTATGGTGCTTGGTATGCAGACAGCGTCTTTGCTGCCTATAGCCCTGCACTGGCCTCCTCAGGTCAAACAATTACCACACATCAAGGAAAGCAATTGGGCATGACTAAAATATCATTGCCATGTGATTGTGTCCCTATGTTTGGGCTGCTAGAGCCTAATTTAACCCACTTTGTCCATACGATTGAGGAGAATTGAGGACACGCTCTCCAATTCTGGTGGGCCCCCCGAGCATTTCCTACAAGTCTGACACATGGCAGCTGGGTTGTAGTGGCGCTGTCACTGGTCTCTTACCCAGCGGAGTGGGAGATGGGGTGTAATGAGCGAGAGAAGTGAGGTAGCAGAGGAGAACAAGTAGCTGGTGGTATAGGAAGGGAGTGTTAAATGAGCCATGTCTGGAGGGCAGAAACTTGAGGCTTTTTGAGTGAAGGCTCTGAGAATAAGTTCATATCGACCTGGGATCACTTGTTAGGTCACGTGATTGCATTCATTTAAGAGCCAAACTGGTTTCCAGTCAAGGTTATTGCTCTGAGATGCTTTCCACAGGCAGGAGCCAGTGTGGTCACATTTTGACTTAATGGTGGGGGGGAGGCAGCATTGATCCCAGGCTCTGGCTCCAAGCAGCATTCTCCACTTATTCCTTCATTATACAGTCAAATATTTCTCCGCCTTTAACTGCCACCCCTGCCCTTCATCTGTCTGTCTCTGTGCCTCATAATATCCCCCCTCAGCTCCCAACAAAATCTGAAAAACCTGAACCTCTCATCCATGCGGCTTCCTTCTACTAAATCCATTGTTTCACCAATTCCATTTCAATTTTATTCGGCCTTTGCTGCTCAGCTGTAACTTAGCCGAAGTCTTTGTGAAAGAGGAACGCTGTGTGTTTCTTTTGTCCTCGTAGACGCTGTTTAAATATTGATAAAGATTGGAAGCGCCGCTGACTACTCAGTCAGATCTGAGAGGGTCAAGGATGGCAGAGTTTCTGTGCACATTTCATTAGGAGAGCAGACGACTGTAAATATGGAAGCATGTGAATCCCAGGCCCTTGCCAACGCTCCACCAGCCTTCATTATCCCCCTGCATGGCTAACGCCCTATAATGTATTCCAATGGAGATGGAGGTTGGAGGGTGATGGGGTGTAAAATAGCATGTGTAGGAAGGCCCTGCTTTTTTGTTGTTGCTATGAGCAGCCTGCCACCCTCACAGCCAGATCCCCATTAGTAGAGGAGTGGAGGATTGGAAGTGCAAATGGTCCTGTGGATTAGAGAGCTAATGCATTTAGGAGAGGGGGCTTCACAATCTCTTTATTGCTGCTGCTGCTGCTGTGTGTGTGTTGACGCTCGTGCAGGGGAGATACCCAGTCCCTTTGTGGAGCCTGAGAGATTTAGGGTAAAGTGAGTAGATAAGGGCAGGGATGCACTGCAAGTGCAGCCACACTGATGCAGCACACACACACACACACACACTCATCAAAGATTATGCTTGGACCAGAAGAAGGCTCGTTGTGTGTGGCGTTATTAAACTCAGCATGGAAATGAGATCTTTCCAGAAAGAGGCGCAGACGGCGGCCCTACTAATCCAATTAATCAGCGTCTAGGTTTTTTCATTTTCTTCTGCCCTCTTTTCTGCCCCTCTTTGTTGCTCTCTCCTCTCCAGTCGTCTCAACTCATCCTTCCCTCTCCATCTCTTCCTCTCTCCGTCTCTCTCCTTTGTGTCCCTCTGTGCTCTGATTTCTCTGAATCTGAACTTTCTCGCCCTCTGCCAAGTGTTTTGGACAGAAATGTGCCATGTCATGCGCCTCCTATAACACATCCTATAAAGCCTGCTGTCCTTTCCTGACACGAATAGCTGCAGTTACGAAGCCAAGTCTGGATGCAGAGGGGAAATCATATATAGGAAGCAGACTCGCTGCTCAATCTCAATCTCCTGTGAGAATGTATGGATGCCTCTGCAGCAGGATGGAGGGATGGTGATGCAGGATCTGGCTTAAGAGGCAACCTGCTACCAGGCCATAAGGCAGCTGTCGGCTTTACATGCACGAACCTTGCTGGTGGTCATCATGCTGTGAGCGAGCAGACTTTAAACTCCTTCTCAGTGGTGGTGGTTCGAGCGAGCGTCACATTTGCAGCTTGTGGCTTTTAAAGAGCCAGCCGCCAGGCAGCATGGGAGGGGCCCTCCTTTGCTGAAGCGCAGCAGCAGCAGCAGCAGCGGCACAGTGGGTAACTAGAGTACAGCTCTGCGCTATCCGGCACTGTGAGTCAGCTGAGCTGCCGGGATCATCAGAGGCGATGGGGAATGAATGAATGAGAGAGACAGAGAGAGAGAGAGTGAGAGAGAAGGGGACCCTGCAGGATCTGGATACAGAAAGGCGAACTCTGGAGATGCGCGGAGCTGTGAGTCCGACACGGAAATACTGAAGTGATCGGAGCAAGCTTGTTGACGCATAATCCCACCCGCCCCGCTGGCACTGGGAGGGGGCAAATCTAGCCTGCCTAAACTCAAATCCTCCAAAAGAGATTTACTGCGTGTGTGCGCTGCTGCTGCGGGTTCATCCACCTCCGAGAAGACATTCCTTCAATTTTCATTTTATTTTCGACCACTTCTCTATAGCGCTCCGTGGTGATCATATATTTTCATATTTTCTGGAAGACAGCCTATATATATCTCGATTTGAAGCAGAGGACCTAATGCGCTATAATAATTAGGGTATTAAGTCCCCTGTTGGATTCGGCACTGTCACTGCGTCGCGGAGGGGTGGGCGGTTTGTTGGATGCGTCCTGAGGTGTGGACAGGACCTGCCCGTGCATCATCACCGTCATTCATCATCACAGGTATTTGATCGTGATTGTGTTGATTACACCGGAGATCTGGAGCCATGACAGGCCCCCCGCTGATCCTACAGCCCGCCTGCTGACGGTACCGGGCAGGATGGGAGCAGGTCTGTCGCTTACAGGATTCCGAACCAGCCAATTTATCAATGGAGGAAGAGAGTGACACCCGGAAAATCAACAACAGCTTCCTTCGCGACCACAACTATGCAACCGAAGGTATTTTAACCGATGATGGTGTGGGGGGGTGGGGGGAGTGAAGCGGTTTTACCGGCACAGCAGAATAACCCGAGGCTGTAGCTAGAGGGATGCTTATATCACAGCAAAAATAAGTCACTGCAAAGGAATAAAAAAGGCAGCAGAAAATAAACAAGGTAACCTTATAAGCAAATATTATGTACTATAAATGGCCTAGGTGAAAGGAATAAGTAGGCCTACCTCATATTAGGCTGATGTTATTTGACCACCATAAAGTGCATTACAGGTAATTAAAATCACATTTAATCACCTCTGACACACTATAAGCTGCTATTAGTCATAAACACGGAGCTTGTAGGTTACCGTGTGGTGTCAATAGCAGGAGATGATGAGGTGGCTTCCCATCATACCTGCTATTTTTAGGATCCTGACCGAGGGGAATCAGGGCTTTAATCTGTATGGACTAGGGGCAACAGAGGAATAAAGCCTCTTGTACAGCTGCTCCAGCGTCTGGAGTCTGTACAGTGATGCAGTTAAACATTGTGAATTCATGATGATTTTTTCCCCCCCTCATTCTGTCTCTACTTGTTGAAATAATTACACAAAGCCATGGAAGGTGCCCTAATTTTAAGAGGCAGTGCATTGAAATATGGATCTCTCTCTCTTTCTTTCTCTCTCTCTCTCTCTCTCTCTCTCTCTCTCACACACACACACTCACACACACACACACACACACTGCATTTTTTACTGTACATGCTCATAACTGGAGCTTTGAACAATAGCTGTTTTCTGCAGCCCCACAGCTATAACTGCTGTTCCTCCTGCACATGTTTGTTTCCTCCTCATTGACCACACATCTTGATTATCAGCCTGTTAACTGTTTGATGCTTAATAGTTCCCTTATGTTCCACCAATCATCTCCACCTGTCTTCCGCAAGCTGTTAGGATCATTGATCAACATAAAACATTGATTTACAGGTAAAAAGCCTCAGCATCCTCAGTCTCATTGCAACCCATTTACTGATTATGCAGATCGGTTATAGACATTAACTGCCGAGTTGATATCAGTGAGATAATAAAACCATAGGGAACTGAAGGCTTTTCATTACAGATTAAACATAATGTCATTCTGTAATGATTGTAGTGATGCATTGCCTCTAAATGTATCAAATTATATTACTTATTTTACCACATTATTACAAGATTTTAGTAAGCTTTGATGTGGGATGTCTATTTTGCTATAAATGATTAATAAGTGTTGTACAAACATTTGGAATAAGTACAGTTATTGTTTTTTATTGTTTAGTTTGAAGCACTGTTCTATTTGCAGTCAGTTTTAATAACAGTATCTGCAGCACTGGGGCAGCCTATAATTCTTTCACACCAGATACATTTCACCACCCACCTACAATGAGGTTTGAAAATAGGAAATGTGAGAGAAAGGAAACATATTTAGATTCGAAATATGATGGAGCATCCGATAATTCAACTATCAGATAGCAGACAAATTACAGAATTAGACTAGAGGGATGTGGAGGGTACATAGAGGTTGTTGGAGGGTATGTGTGGCTGCAGGGTGGGTCAGAGCCACCCAGATCTTCTTCCATTTGCCATTAGCTCAAGTTACTGATGCTACTGCAGGTTGTAGGGGGAAAAAGTCAAGGCTCAGAAAGCAGTCTCATTATCACAGTTTTCTCTGCAGCTTTCCTCAACATTTTATTTATTTTTTCATTTAAATATGGGAGGGCATCATCATTTGCTCTGCTCCTGCACTTACAAATGATTCCCTGTCACTGCTAAACACACAGTCGCTGGTTTGGAGCGAGAGGAAGTGAAGTGGGGGTGGGAGTGGGTGTGATGGATATCTTTGTTTGATGTGTGCGCTGAGATGAAAAACAGTAGGGGAGATTCCTCTTCCAGCTTCTTCTTGTCTCTCTGTCTCACTCTTTCACTCGCTCTCATTCATTTGATCAAGAGAAAGTGCATGAGAGTTACACAGGGTGTAAAAATTGTCTCCTGAAAGCAAATGACTGTCTGGTCTGTGGCCCATCTGCGCTTTTCAAACAAGAAGTGTCTACTTTTGTTATTTTTTATTGCTGTAATTTATGAGTGATTGTCACACCTCATATATCACGAATGAGTCTGTGCCCATTCACTCTCTCGCTCCTTGTCTCCTAAGTGGTATGAAGTCAGTCTTCAGCCAAAGATCATATGGGTCGGCGTCTGGGTCTATCGTCCGTCCTCATAAATATACCAAAGTGCGCATTGTTCCATCAGGCCCAGTCCAGACCATGTTTAGACCCCACACACAGAGTCACACATATACACACAGGTTCCTGGTAGGGATTTCCCTCAGGCCGTGTTTGCCCACAGCAGCAGGACACTTTAATGATGTCACATTTTAATGATGTCACTCACGCTGACCTTTGGCTCGCACCAATCCCACGCCTCAGTGGGTCTGTGGGCGGTTACATTGACTCGGCGTATGCATTTACATTGTGTGAGGTAAGATGTGCTGGTCATTCATAGTTGGGTGTGAAATTTAAAGTCTTCTCCACCTGACAGCAAAGTTTCCGAAGACATCATTGTTGTCTAGATGAAAGAAAATTGCATTACAGTCTGATTTGCATTCACCAGCCGCCTGCAGATGACACATTGCTAATGGTGACAGGATGGATGGTTTGTGTCTCACTGCTGCTGTGCATATCAGTGTGTGTTGAGTCAATGGACTGTTACGCTCTGACAAGATGGGTCTCAGTTAATTTTCATAATCTGCACCTTGGATGTTTCTCTAATGGGTGAAATTGCCAAATAGCCAAACACCACTTTGGGTATAAAAATGTAAATAGCTTCCTCGCTGTGAGGCAGGACCTAACCTAATGTCTGCTTTGGTATTGATTTCTGGTCCTTTACAATTTAGCCACCGGAACAATGACCTAAAGATCTATTGGTAGGACATGTAATCCCTTCCTCCTTCTCTCCCCTACCCCCTCTTTTCTCTCATTCTCTCTACCTCTTTCTCCTTATATGTGTGTCTCATGCGAGTACAAGCTTGTGTGTGATGTGACCCCTCTAGCCCCGCTGAATACTGATGCAGTCCCGTAACAGAGAGCTCACAGCCTTTATTGCAGCTGCTGATGAGAGCAGAGCAGCGGCTGGTTGCCTGTGCCAAGGCAAACGGCCTGGGGCCACACTTTAGGACCCCGGCATAAAAAGACTTAGCCCACCATACCCCCAGGTCCCATCCATTATTCACTACGAAACACTCAAAAACGCTGAACCCCGCCTCGGCACATAACGCAAGAAAGATAACGTCTATGTGTGTGTATGGGGGTGGTGTGGGGGTGGTGGGTTCTTAATGGCAAGCTGTGAAGTTGGGGCGAGTCACACTCCTTATTCGCAGCTGCTTTCATCCCCTGATTAGCTTCTTATTAAGTCTGCAGCGGCATGAAATTTTAATGAGAATTTATTAAAGAATACCCGTGGTGTTGCTACTGTAGTATGATTAGAAAAAATATCCTATTTCTCAACTTGCTTCCTGGTCAGTAGATTTATAGATGATAGATCTACTTTGTGAGTCATTCGGTGCACTGCTAGCCTGAAGGCTAAGCAATGTTTGACCTTTCAGGACTTTATAATGGGATGCATTTGTAAGTTTTGATAGCTAATTCCTGTGTCCTGTCGAGGAAACAGCATCACTCGCAATCTTTCATGTTTTTTTTTTTTGATAAGGTCACTGTAGATACAGGATTTTGGTCTGTACAGCAGTCATCTAGTCTTTGATTTGCTCCAGCCTTGAAAACAAGAAGATGAAAGGGATTGCACCAAGGCAACACAGAAAGACAGATAGAGAGGGAGAGACAGCTTTTGTTTTGGTGGAGGATTATAATTCTATGCACCCCCGCTTCCTCACCATCCCCCTCTTACATCTTCAATTTCTAAGAGAATACCAAATAACAAGCATTTGAAATGATCCCTCTTGGTATTCATCTTAGTGCACACAGGAATCGATCGCTGATCTCGGGTCTTTTCACCACTTCTTGTTTCGTCCTGTCCTGTCCTGTGACTGTAGTCAGATGTGTGCCACGGCGATGTGTTAATGAAGTGTGAGAAGTGAAGCAGTAACACGTCTCGCCCATTTCACCCTCAACTCCCTGGAGTGTGGGGATACAGAAAAGCAAGCACAAGCATACATACATGCACAAAAGAGAGAGTGCACACACATACACATTCTGACAAAACACACACACACATACACACATTCTGTCTCATTCTCAAGGGGCTGATCCTGGAGAAACCAGGTTAATTAGCTTGTTCACTCCAGATCTTACAAAGAGTCATGCTCTTCAGATGAAGAGAGCTGCATTGTGCTCTATTGCTTTGTGTGCAGCTAATAAAGCCTAATAAACCCTTAATCATATGGCTGGATACCAGACTAGTAGGTAGCAGGGTTTATTCAAAAATTTGATTGATCCCCATTGTTGCTGGTGTGAAATGAGGCCGTTATCAGGTGCTCAGTCTTTATATGAACAAGCATTTGTGTTCATGTTCCTGAAAAAAAACAGAAGCAGATTGATACATATTGTTGATTATCATAGAAAGAACAAGAGCGGTGGTGCAAGAAAGAACGGACCTGAATTATCCTCCAGCCTGATCCTTTGACGCAGGCAGCTCAGCACAAGTGCTATAATCCTCTCCTCTCCACGTCTAATGCTAACAAAGCATTTACACGACACCATGTTGCTCACGTCCCTCCCTCTACCTGGAATTACTGCACAACACTTACGCAACTAGCTTTCCATGCAGTCACACCATTTTGGGCGTATCTGTCTTACACAACCCTCCCATGCCACAGGATCAAGCCTCAGATTGCTTTTGTTTTGTTTTTTCACCCCTGACAGGATTATATGTTGTCTAGAGGTTAGCCAGGGTGCTCCTATTTTGGTCTTTGCTTGTGTCTGTGCCGACGAGACTCACTGTACAATCTTTTATTGACCTACTTAGAGCAACAAACCTCCCTCCCCAGACCTCCCCCCCTCATTTCTTTTAGTGGCCCTCTCTGTTATGTGTGATAGATAGTTGCATGCTTGGGCATCTATAAATACATTCAATATCCGCTCTACCCACCCTGTGTATCTGGCTCCTCGTTGCCTGGTTTTTCATTCCAGAATCAATGCATATCTATGTTTCCATCCAATTGGTTTCAGTCCCGATTCTATATTGCATGCTGAAGGGCGGTTATTGAGGTTCACATTGGTGAACAGAAACAGATAACAGCCATGCCATGCCTGTTTTATTTCAGTCATACATACAGTTATACACACGCCTCACAGCAGCAAGCCAACAGGCTTGTCTGTGTTATTACTGGTGATGGATGTGTGTTATCTCGAGCATCCCTCTGATGCATCAAGAAGCGCTGACCTGTCTGTGTCAGACCTGGCTGGCCACAGGATTTATGGGCTTCATCTGGTTATGGTCTACTGATGAAGCTGTGTGTGTGTGTGAGAGCGAGAGAAAGAAAGTGTAAGTACACATTTGATCAGCTGAATCACTAGGCTGCTGCTAATTCCAATCCACCTTGAACTTGTATAGTAATAAAAATCTGATCTGATGCAAGTAGAAATCACCACAGAGAACCTGCCTACCTGCAACTCCACTGGTAATCGATTTGTTCCCAATAATGACGTGTTATGTAAAAACAATATTCAAACACAATTCCCTCAGTGGCTGAGGCTGCATAGATTGCCTTGTCTGGTTTGAATACATTTGCATGAAGAAAACTAATTTAGGGAAGCATTCCATCATGTTACTCTGAGTTTCAGCTTCACTGGTTCTCCCAGATTCTTCATTCATTGGAATGATTGAAGGATGTATCCGTGTGTAAACTCGTTAAATGGCATCCATCAATTACTGTTTCTCCTCAGTGGCTTAATGCGTTGATGATGAGGGAAAGAGAGAAGAGAGAGGGAGTGGGGGAGACAGAAAAAAAGAGTATGAAGGACAAAAAGAGAGAGAAAAGCTTTGATTCAAGAAAGCTGACCACTAAGCCGATTCCATTCGATTCACACCAGTAGCTTTAGCCTGATGGTGCTGGGGAAGACAGCATTGTGTGTGTGTGTGTGTGTGTGTGTGTGTGTGTGTGTGTGTGTGTGTGTGTGTGTAGGTGTGTGTGCTGGGGGGTTGCACTACACATCTCTGTACATGCATGAGGTGGATACATGCAGATACAGAAAGAGAGATAAGTGCAGAATGGGAGATGTGCACTTGTGAGGGTCTATGCGACAACAGTATGGTGTGTCAGTGGGGTACTCCCACACTGTAATTAGGTCAGAGTGTGCCTTGTCTGTGAAACGTTATTAGTTTCTAGATTCAAATATGATTAGGATTGCCCCCTCAATCTTCACGTCATTATCAACACATGGCCATAAGAATTCCCCCAGCCACACCACTGAATGTGGGTTTCTATTCAGCAATTAAATGAAACAACACACACACACACACACACACACACACACACACACACACACACATACATCCGAAGACATGCTGTTTAGTCATTTCCATCATGCACAGCAGCTTTATGTGAAGAGATGAGCCCGTCTACAGGGACCCTATTGTCTGAAGTTGTGTGCTGCATTGAACTGCACACACTCCCCCAGATGCAGTAGCAGGTTTTCACTCTATTGCAGCAGTCTCTCTGTCTGCTGAATTACAGCTAGCATCAGCAACTAAGTCTGAGAGCTATTGGCACACATACACACACATATACACCCCTCTGACTGCCGCTAGAGATGGAAACAGTCTCCATAGCAACATTCCCCTCTCCTGTTCAGCGCTCCGCCAGTAGCAGGTCCACAGAGGGCGTGGGGGGTACAAAACAACAAGCTCTCTCTTTTTCTCTCTCTCTGTTTAATATGATTGTCACTGTTAAACAGAGAGCTAGCCTTTGCCGTGGGTGTGTGTGTGTGTGTGTGTGTGTGTGTGTGTGTGTGTGACAGCCATTATGCTATACCTTTTTAGCCTGGGGCTGTATAATAATTACAGTCACCATTAGCCTCTCCTAAATCCAGGCAGATGTATGTCTTTGAGGAGGAGAGGAAAAAGTACCTTAAGGGTAGGTGTCTATTATTTACTTTTTGGTGAAACTACTATGTAGAGAAGGATAAATGTTGGCAATCGAGTATAAACGGAGCAATTACGTTTACGGATTTATTGCTGTTATATTTTTGTTATCCTGTCGGTGCACTGCATACATTGAAAGTTAAAAAGTATGCAAGACATGCATAGACATATATATCAGCTGCAAAAAGGACACGGTGTAAAGGTTTATGACTGTGTTTTTTTTAATGAAGGGGCAGGAGAGTTACTTAGCAGCACGGGGTCTTGCAGCCAGGAGGAGTGAGGTGAATGGCATTATTAGTGTGGCAGCTCCGTCCTCTAAAAAGCAGGAGTGCAATTAAATGACACAGACTGGCTCACTTCAATCAGGCTGAATTTGTTGATATCATGCAGTGACTCATCCAGTGACTTCTCCTAACCCATATTTCACCAAACTAGGATATCTGTGCCGTAGAGTCCTCTGTGGGTTTGTCATGAGATTCCCCTTCTCTTCCCCTGACATGTTTTCTAGAAGTCACTCTACCAGATCTTTTTGTCTGACTGATACCTTGACAGCTGTGCACATCCATACTGACATTTTCTCCCCCTCTTTGCTCTGCTTCCTGTGTTGCAGCTGACATTATCTCAACGGTCGAGTTTAACTCATCGGGGGAGCTGTTGGCCACAGGGGATAAAGGAGGCAGAGTGGTTGTCTTCCAGAGGGAGCAGGAGGTAGGAAATGCCAACAATGCAACACTAATTATGCTGCTCTTCTGCTGAAACGATTTGACAGCCTTGAAACAATAAAGCTGGATCGTATGCTTTCAAATAACTAGCAAGTAAGGTGTATATATTATTTCCAAGAGTACTCTTATTGATTTTCAAATCCCCAGAAAATAAATGACTAAACAAAGAAATAAAATTAATAAATAATAAATAAAAACGAGTGTTTAGAGAGAAATGGAGTCCCCTTTGTTTTCTTGCCGGTCTCCAGACTTTTAGAGTATTCTGTAGGATAAGATTATCCTTTACATTGCTATGAACCCATTTTTTAGAAGCATATAAAATGTTACAGAGAGGGCCACTGAGGAAGCCTCCAAAGTAAGCCAGGTAGAATTAGAGTCGTCTCTCAACCAGAGCCACAGATAACTAGAGGCATGCAATTTTGTAGCATTAAATATCTGGCACCGCCAACCCCCCTGATGTTTCTACATAGAAGTTTCAACCTAACCCACTTATTTTTCCAAAAAAAGGAAGACAGAGAGCTGTTTATAGCCAAAAGTGATTTCCTTATTAAAAGGGCGATGATCGTTTGAAAGGGCTACAACAACTGTGGAAGTATATTGTTCTTAAAAAGGTTCACTCTTCCTCTGAGAGACAGTGGCAAAGCTGTCCAGCCAGCCAGGTCTTCTCTAATCTTGTGAATTAAGGCCATGAAATTAGATTTCTGCAGGCCAGAGAGGGAGGGGGTAATATATATACCCAAGTTGATATTAACCTGATGGGGATGAACGAAAAGGATCAGAGCTCAGAGATCCAGATGCAGGAGTTAGCAGCATTGCCTCACACTTAAGGTAATTAATCTTGTAACCTGAAAATTATCTCACCATCTCAACTGTTCTCATAGCAGAAGCCTCAGGGTTGCTTAGATAAAGCAGAACATCATCTGCATATAAGTAGATTTTATGCTGCACAGGAACCACCTCCTATGCCTGTCATTAATGGATCACTTCTAATGGTCTCTGCCAAAGCCTCTATGGTGGGGGCATAGTTGGAGCGAGGCCTTGTCAGGTATCAAGCCCCACCGTTAACACAGGAGACTTCTGGCCATTTGTAATAACTGAGGCACAAGGGCAGCATATGCATTTGAATGGCCTACAAGCCTTCTGCTTTTAGCAAGTAATTTTTGGTCCATCATAGTGTTGCTGTAGTGGCATCAATTTGAAGTCTCAGGTCCTCTGAATGGTTGAGGTTAAACTCTCCTGGAGGTTGCTTAATTGTTGCTCAAGGAGCTGTTGTTTATCCCTCTGTTTTGTCTTTAAATTTGCTAAAATTATCTAGTAAAACCACAGATAGTGTATATACTGTATATGAAATGCTGTCAAATAGTGTGGCACAGCAGAGCGTTGAGGTACATGCTAGCATCAGCATGCTATTACACTCACAATGACAATGTTAACATGTAGATTGTTTAGCAAGCATAATGTTTACCATGTTCATCTTAGCTCTTAGTTCAGTATGTTAGCATGTTAAAATTTACTAAAGAGGACTAAACTGTCATTAGTTTCGCAGGTACGTGATAATAAACGTATGGTAAAAATTTTACCCAATGATGAAGATGAAAAAAGTCATTCATGGGATCACCAAAGCAGTTATGATTCATTGTCTGCAGACCAAGAATACCTTTTGAGATATTTTAGTCTGAACCAAACGACTGACAGGCCATAATTGCCACCTCTAGCATGGCTAAAAATGTTTTGTTTTACTTTGAAGCTACTTAAAGGGGCCTAGAGGAAGAGACGGTACATTTACAACAGCTTGTTAATGAATTTGTGGTAACCAATATTTAGTCTTCTGTGGTTAACAGCAAACAGGTCAAGTTCTCACTATGTTTCTTGTTCTCTCCTTCTTTTATAGAGTAAGAGCCAGCCCCAGCGTAGAGGGGAGTACAATGTTTACAGCACATTCCAGAGCCACGAGCCGGAGTTTGACTACCTGAAGAGTTTGGAGATTGAGGAGAAGATCAACAAGATCAAATGGCTTCCTCAGCAGAACGCCGCCTACTTCTTGCTATCCACCAACGGTCAGTCATTTATCTAAGGCGACCCTGGTACTACGTGAGCAACACAAGTGGCAAAATGGCCAAATAAACCATTAATCTCCCATGACAGTGTGTTTAAAAGTGAGCATTGTGTTGTTCTTAGTCAATAACAGTGTTTAACTAAAGACATGATTTATTCATTCACTTTGCAGAATGGGCAGATATAGAGCTGTTGTAAAAGGACATGTTATTAATATCCCATGAAAATGTCTTTTTGACTATTTGTGTAAATGTATTGGTGTTTCACTTGGCTGAGTAAGTGCCACCAGCAGACGCGTTTCAGATTGAGAACTTCATGCATGACTGCCACAGCAGCAACACACACACACACAATGTAAAGCATGTGCCACCACACACCATACATGCACGCTACCTCAAACCGACACACACATCAGCAGAGAGACGTCTTGCAGATTGTGGGCTTCATGCATGGCTGCTACAGAAGTGCTAGTGATGGCTGGAGCAGATGGCGGAGGGTCCTGTGGCGATGGCCTCGGTGCTCTGACACCAATATTCACAGCGGAAATTAAAATGAAAAAAAAAGCAACAACAACCTGACTGCCACCATCCCCTTCACTAGACAGAGAAAATGAGATGTAACTGGTGTTTGTGTAATGCAGAATTGAAAACCATCCAGATGGCTTTTTCGGGGGGGAGTGCATATTGCAGCCGGGAACTATAGTCAACTTGTAGATTGATATCAGTGACATCAGAATGTTCACAGGAGCCGCCATTCATCATTCTTGCTGGCTCTTGCCCAGCTACATGCCAGATTGGCTGCCCAACCCCCCGCATCCATCTTGTATCTGAGATTCACTGTAGTGAGCCATGATCTAACTGTATGTTGTGTTTGTGTGTGTCTGCGTGTGTGTATGTTTGTGTGATGTATCCATCCCAGACAAGACGGTGAAGCTGTGGAAGATCAGCGAGAGGGACAAGCGTCCGGAGGGTTATAACCTGAAGGATGAGGATGGACGGATCAGGAATCCGTCGACCATCACCTCGCTACGGGTAAGAAGTCACACAAAACGGGTCTAAAACCACCCAAAATGTCACATGGACTGAGGTCAATTGCTCTATGTCTTGTCTTGCTGGTGTGTTAAAATTTTACTGTTTGGCTCAAATAGTAGGATATGATTTGAAGACAGGGAACATTCCAGAAAATTCAAGATTAATCTTAAATGGAAACGAAATTAAAATATTTCAGGTTACAGACAGAGGTAGAAAATGGAAGCTTATAAGAAAAAAACATACTTACATGCTGACTGATATTAAATTTAAGTGCTACATTGATATTTTTATTTTATACGCTTGTTATCCTGATTTCATATCCATGATGTACTGTAGGAAACAATATTCCAATGATTTCTTTTATATAACAAGAAGAATTAAATAATTTCACATTTTGTAAAATATGTTTTATGCTATTAACTATTTACTATTTATCTTTTTTCTCATTATTCATGTTGCAATTTTGGACTTAGGAAGTAAAAGCACAAGTGTTACTAATAACATAACCAATGGTTGCAGTATATTTCAGTGTCCTGTTAAGCCATGACAATGTGACAGTGAGCCAGCATGCACAATACCAGGACACTGAAGCAGCTAAATGGAATACAGCCATTATTCATTTTATAATTAACACTTTTCTTCTGTGAATGTCAAAATCAAGTCAAGTCAAATTTTATTTATATAGTCCAAAATGACAATCATGGGACAACAACCTCTGTCCTTAGTTACACCCTTTAAAAAAAAATCTTCTGTGTTTGCACATAGAGTAGTCTGAAGTATGAATAAGTACAGCTCAGATAAGCTGATTAAATCAAAATTTAGCATTCAGCCATTATGCTATGATAGCCTTTAATCCTCTCTAAACGTCTTAGCAACTTATACTAATACTGATACACATATTGATACAGTATCCCTTTTAAAATACCTGCTAAATATATGCTCACTTTCAATACATATAAATTACACTTTGACACCAGCAAACACACAATCGTTGGATAATTTTTAACTTGCACTGGCAGAAGAAAGTGAGAATGAGTGATCGATATGTGCACTGAGGTGAAGACGAAGAAGGGATCATCCTCTTTGCCCCCCCTCCTTATCACCCCACTACCGCTTTAATTTTCACACAAAGCAGGCAGGCACATAGGACAGCGTGCGTGTACGTGCATATGTGTGTGTGTGTGTGTGTGTCTGCCATAGTAGATTAGTGCTGTGTTCAGCGTGTCTGTCCCTCTTTGTCTGGCTGGCCAGGGGATCATAGCAACCTGGAGGACAGGCCGGGACTGTGGCAATCCTGTTTAGCGGCTGTGAAATCTGCGTAGGGAGAGAAAGCAGAGGAGGAAAAGGGAGAGCCAAAATATAGCCAAATAACAATAAATACTCTTTCTTGTGTCATATAAATTAATTCAATTTCTTCTTAAAACAAAAAAATGTCCCTTTGTGTTCTGATTCTGATGTGCTGCTTTAAAAGAGGAAAACTGCCTTAAAATTCTGTGTTGTGAATAGATTTTTATGGGCATTGGTTACTTTTTAAAGCAGACATATCTCAATTTAAATCCCTTACATGCTATAAAGAAGATAATCTATTAGGTCATTTCAAGCAAGCTGAACAGTGTAACTGTCAGTGTTGGGGGTTATGGGTTAATACGGTCCATGTCTCTCTGGACAGCCAGTGAAAGACATGGAAATGAAGTGACACCCATGGAGATACAGCAGCCTGCTGGGCTGCCATGTCTCTCTGTCAGTGCCAGCAACGGACGAGAGAAAAAGGGAAGAAGCAGTCGATTTGTTCTCCTCTCTCCCTCCCCTCCCTTCTCTCTTTGTCTGGGTTTTATCTGGCCAACGGGGGGCTGCATGCAGACTGGTGCTGGGTGTCTTTGAAGCCCTAGCAGCACTATGCAACTGTGTGTGTGTGTAAGAGAGAGACAGAGAGAGAGAGAGTGTGAGCTTGTCTTAATTCTGCAGAGTTCAGTTATCATTCCTCAGCAGGGCCTAGCGATGCCCTCTGGCCATATCTCTTTCCACCTCCTTCGCTTTCTCTCTTTTTTCATTTTCTCTAACACACACACACAAACAAGAGAACAGGAATGACTTCTTCAGCACTTACATGACAGAGAGAGGGAGAGAGAGAGAGATAGAGAGAGAGAGGTGTGATCACCGAGTAGCCGTGTAGCAAACAGATATTCACAGTCTGATTGAACCAGCTCATCAAACAGCCCCGGAGCCCCTCAGTCGCTGTCTCTGTTTCATTAAGATTTGTGGAGTAAATGTCATGTGAATCCCTGGAGTCATCTAGTTTGGTTCACACACACACAGAATCTATGCACACAAGCAACCTTGTGCATGCACATTCACACATACACAGATAAATATAAGCAGGCCAACCAGCTTCAAAGTGCATAAAATATTGAGTCAGTATTACAAAACAAATGAAAGCATCCAAGTGGCTATATTTTTGTATGTTGTCCCTTTTGCCCTCTCTAATTCACCTGTCTTTACCAATAGGTGCCGGTGCTGCAGCCTATGGACTTGATGGTTGAGGCTACAGCCAGGCGTGTATTCAGCAATGCCCACACCTACCACATCAACTCCATCTCTGTCAACTCCGACCTGCAGACGTTCATCTCCACTGACGACCTCAGGGTGAACCTGTGGAACCTGGAGATTACCGATCGCAGCTTCAGTATCCTCTTATTTGTTTCTCTTCAATGTGTCCTGAGCTAAAATTTAAAACAGTAGTGACTTCTCTGTGTTGTGGCCTTCAGAGTGTTAGCTGTCCACTAAATGTCCACAGTCTAAAAGCTGTAGTTGTTCCTTAGCGCCTGTCTCTCAGACATCGTGGACATCAAGCCAGCCAACATGGAGGAGCTGACAGAGGTGATCACCTCAGCTGAGTTTCATCCCCAGCAGTGTCACACCTTTGCCTACAGCAGCAGCAAAGGCTCAATACGTCTGTGTGACATGAGACAGGCTGCGCTCTGCGACAAACACTGCAAATGTGAGTACCACTAGATTGCATCATGGAAAAATAAATAAATCTTTATAGAATTTGTCCTTTTGTTATGTTTCATTAACTTTTTTTTAAATTCTATACCTCCAAATTCTATGTGTCCAAATTCCCCCTCTAGTCTTTGTTGACCAGCCATCAAAAGATACTATAAAACTATAAATATTAGGTTGTTAATTCACACTCAGTGTTACAGCTTCAGCTCCTCCTCTGTGTGGCTGTGAGACATAGCCTACCCCCTCCTCAATCTGCCAGGATTGATAACCCATCAATAATTCTCCCTGTGTGTTTCAAACAATGAATGGCCTTTTCTGAAGCTTAACATCACGCATACACTTTGGTGGAATGAATAATGAATACATTGACATTTTGGCTGGAAAATCAATGGCTTAAGAGCAATCGCATTAGTCCCTCATGGACACACCTTGTTGTTCGATAATGTCAGTCATTTCCTCAGACATATTGATGTGTTCACTGGGCCATGCGTTAACACGGCCTGTTGAATTTCTTATAAAGAGGGCTAAATAAGAAGAAATGCTTGGATTTTTAGATTTATTAGATTTAGTCGATTTTTAAGTTACATGTACGTGCCATTACTTGACAGGTGCTTTCAGTGCACACACACGGATGCACACACACACTAACAGAGCAGGCAGGTGCTCTCGTTAGCCTCAGGCCAGGTCTGTTAATACCGACCTACTGTCTCACTGCATGAACGTGTATGGCTCAGAGCGGTGTGTAATGCCTCCCTCCCACGCACACACACACACACACACACACACACACGCACACACAGCTCCTCCTTCCCTTGACATCCACACTCACACAGAACTTCTTGAACCTTCTACATAAATAACACAAACACACACTCATACTGTATCTCCTCTCATACCTGCATATCTGGGAGGCTGCTGGTATTAATCAGTGTTAGAATGAGCATGGATGGATGGATGGAGGGATAGGCAGGATTGCCAAAACGCTGATCCCCAGGACAGAGAGAGGGGGACCAAACAGTCCCCATTCCGACTCCCCAGGGACCCTATTATATACCAGGAGGGAGGGCAGACACACACACACACACACACACACACACACACACAAAAATATGCACACACGTGCATATATACCTGCATACACTGCACACACCCACTCATACACAAACACTCATTCACTGACACACACACAAATCCAGTGGGGCTCAAATGGGCCCAGCACTTTGACATTGATTTGTTTTTCTTATCCCTTCCTCATCCTCCCCATTTTTTCATCTCTCACGCTGCATCCCTTGTTAGACTCCCCGTTGGCACATCACAGAGCTATTCTCCAGGCCTCAGCTGAGGAGGAGGGGTAGAGGAGGGGAGGGGGACAACGGTGGGGGCATATTTGGAGAGCTGGAGAGGAGAGAGGGGAGGAACGGTGGAAAAAAGGAGGAGGAACAATAACTTGACAGCTAACGATGGAATGCCTGGCTCTTATCCCCAGCGTGCTGGCCTGCACACAGATCAGCAGCTGCCAGAATCAATATGAATCATAACCAATATTTACCCAGCATGCTGACCCACGCCTCCCTAAACACACACGAAATAATACTGTGAGGAAATGCAGCTGCTGCAGCAAACCCTGCACTCAAGCATCGTTGTGGCTTTTATCATTTGCTAATGACGGCCCCCACCAACCTAAACAAAATCTGCTTAGTGTGTCCTCGCTGTGAATGATTAAAAGACGTGCATGAAAAACATGTCTTTTAAGCAGCGACCTCCTACAGTGAAAAATGTGTTCTCTCCGTCAGAAGATAACTGCTTTTTGTTTTGTTTTGTTTTTTCTCTCGTAGACTTTGAGGAGCCAGAGGACCCCTCCACTCGCTCCTTTTTCTCTGAAATCATCTCATCCATTTCTGACGTGAAGTTCAGCCACAATGGACGCTACCTGATGACAAGGGACTACCTCACTGTCAAGGTGTGGGACCTTCAAATGGAGAACAAACCTCTAGAGACGTACCAGGTGAGCTTTTGTCATGCTTTTATGCGCCTGTTAGACAGATTGAAGGTTGCAAAGATAATCCCCAGCTGGTAAAGTTAGCAAATGACGGTTAGGCCGAGATCAAATCAAAACGTATTGATTTCTAGACTAATCACTCAACATAATCCTGTTTCACTGTCACCCTGCCAATCTGTTACACTGTCATCTTTAGCAATTACTCCGGGAGGGCTTATTGAGCTGACTGTCCGTAAAAAGACAGATAGTAGTGGGGCTGATGCAACCTGAAGGGCAAAACCTCCCACTGTGTGGTCACCGGGGTCAGATCCACACTGTCTGATCATGGGAAGCCATCTTAGGGCAGGTCATGATTGATAAGGCCATCATCTGGGCTCAAGGGATTCTGTCCAATTCCAGCTCCGCCTCCACCTGCTACCTAGCATCTTAGCGTAGGTCACCAGGTCTGGAGGGATTACTGAAAGTAGAGCATATGGCAGTGCAGCTTATGGTTGTATGGCAATGTGACGAACTTTAGATGCTGGAAAAGTGTCAGCGTAATCCACCAAGTGGACATTCATTTTTTAATTTGTTTTTCAGGTTCACGACTATTTACGAGGAAAACTTTGTTCTCTGTACGAGAATGACTGCATCTTTGACAAGTTTGAGTGTGTCTGGAATGGATCAGACAGGTAAGATTTATTTCTTATCCATCCATTCATCCATCAATCCATCCATGCATCTCTGTATCTCAATAACCCTCTGCTCTCCTCTGCTCCTCCTCAGTGTCATAATGACTGGCTCCTATAACAATTTTTTCCGAATGTTTGACCGGAACACTAAACGTGACGTCACACTGGAAGCGTCCAGGGAGAACAGCAAACCCAGAGCCATTCTCAAACCTCGCAAGGTACAGCACTGCTCATCAATACAAGTGACCCGATATCTGGAAGTCCTGTTGCGTTTAATCCAGCTGGATTTGCTGTTTTATATTGCCAGATTATAGGTTCAAATTTAGATAGACTCAGATATCCTAATGACTGGGAATCTTCATAGAAAAGCTACCATATAATTGATTATGATATTATATTATCGAGAGAAATACAGCTAGAGTCTTAAGTCATAAAGTGGGATGAGATGGGTCACTCAAAGTGGTGAACCCACAGGGAATTATCAACTGACTCTACAGTTCCCCTCAGCTCTACGCGGCGTTTTAGCATCTTTCAGCTCAGTTTTGATTCACTCTCGTTGACCTAATTTCTAGACAAAACAAGCAGCTGTTTTCAGTTAAAAAAAAGCTCTATAAACAGTGGGTTTACCTGAACAGCAACATACAAATTTAGCAACTAGCTGGGTGATGGAGCATTTAGCAGCTAAAGAGACATATTTTTCTCTCAGGGATTAGTAGAGACCAAAACAGAGCTAAACCAGAGTGATTATGGGACTTAATTGTGTGGCCATAAACATGACTGAAATGAATGCTAATGTTGCTCTGTGTATCCTGGATGTGTTAATATCCAACAACTATCTGTTATGTACTGCTAACATATTTGTCATATCTATCATTGAGGTGATAATAAGTCATTGTTGTGTTTGACAACTTCTTCTGGCCCTGTTATAGGAAGCTTTATCACTGAAATGGTCATTTATGCTTTAAAAATTGTGCACACCCTCAAAGCCTCTGTATCCCTTCTGTTGTCCTCCAGGTGTGTGTGGGTGGGAAGCGTCGTAAGGATGAGATCAGTGTAGACAGCCTAGACTTCAGCAAGAAGATCCTTCACACTACATGGCACCCACATGAAAACATCATCGCTGTAGCGGCCACCAACAACCTCTACATCTTCCAAGACAAGGTCAACTAAAGGGCAGTCTGCCTCTGCTGACCCCTGACCCCCACACATGAGGGGCTGGGTTGGGGGAAAGAGAGATGGAGCCCTTATTTACATCCTTCTCCTCCTCTCCCTACGTCTTGTTGCTGCCGGTCTTGAATTTTGCCGCCCTTCTGAGGAAGTGCAGAGATGAGTATCCAGTGACTGAACTGGATAAATAGACAGTGGGAATTTTGGGAAGCAGGGAATTGATAGAACCTGGATACAACTTGAGGAAAAAGGTTCCTCGAAAATCAAGAATGGACTTTCATTCTTCAATTTGACTTCTAATTTAATTTATTTAGCCATGCCAACACCCGGAGAAGTGAATCCTGTGCATTTATGCAACAAGAGGATTGCTGCATGAATACCATGATGTAGCAGCCCTCTGCACCCTGAAGAAAGGGGTTCGATGTGGGTACACTGAACATAAAGTAGAGCACACAGACAGAAACCTAGCTTACATGATGGTGGCTCATTGTCATGTAGCAACAGTGCCCCCTCTCTTTCAATCTGCTCATGCTACAGTGCATGTGATCAGTCCTGCGGCCCTCTAACTGAGGCAAAGTTGTGACAGTGCAACCCTCTGCAAAACAAAAGCGGAAGAGACTGTTAATCCTTGACCCCAGAAACTGAGAGTTTTCTCTGCCTGTGACACAACGTGGTCAGTCTTTCTAGTACCAATTCTGTGTCTCCTTGGTGAGACTGCTGTAGTCTGTAATGTGAATGAAGCCCTTCCAGGCTGTGTCAATGGTTTTATTTAATGCTGTTGTTTTATTGAGTCCTTCTCTCGGTCAATGAGTCTGTTTAGAAGCTGTGGTGCCTTCTTTTGGTATGTGGGGGTTCGATGTAGTGGGAGCGGGAGGGGGGGAGGGGACTGAGTACAAGGCAGGAGTGTGAATGTTTCAAATGAAATGTTAACTTAGGAATTTTTCTTTTCTTTCTTTTTTTTTTCTCTCTTTCTCTTCAAACAAAAATAAAAAATCTCCACTGAGGTCCCGGGTGGAAAAAGTGCTTGAAGCAATGTAGTCAAAATTTACATTTTAGCACCGGCTACATGCTTGTGAGTTCAAGGGAGGACGCTGTGATATGTACAAAGTAATTGTTGCTCTTATCACATTGCAGTCAGTCTGATGCCATCAGTTTGCAAGAGACACGACAAAACCTTTTTTTTTTCAGCAAAATTCCTGTTGGAGAAAAAAAATCGACATTTTTGCATTATTTGCATAGTACTGAAAATGATCTGTAGATGGTAGAAACGTAAACTTCTCATGTCCAATTTTTGAATTTAAGATTTCTTGGCATAACGTAATGCTAGCATAGCTCTTTTTGCATGCGATGGATCTGATTCTGATGAACCTGACAGCCTGCACATAGATATCTGAACATCTACAGATCATATGTGGCACTATGCAAGTAAAATACTTCTGCAGAAGTAGCCAGTTTAAAATGTTTGATTTGAGTTTGCTGCGGTGCCTGTCCATGTTCCTCCTTTTGCTGAAGATGTGTAACATGGAACAGCAGCAGGTTGTATTTCGGCACTCGGCTCGGATCAGTTTGGAAATCCTCTCTTGTCTCAGATTTGTTTTAGAGCCAACTCCCATAAAGGTAAGCAGTCAAAGGTCTAAATGAACTCTGTGAAATCAGGGAATTATTAAGTGTGATTCCTTTAAACAGTAATGTCTTCTAAACAACCTTCTTTGTGACACTAATTGAAACAAAAAAAAAAAAAAAAACTTTTATAGCTCAGAATGTATTGAAATGCAATTAATTACCATGCAGTCTTTATGCTTACTGGACTTTCTTTGAATAAAAAAGAATAAAGATGTGCAAGTTCAAAACCTGAATTGTTGGATCTTATCTGTTCATGCTGCTGACTCGAATTCATATCCTGACTGTTCATTGCTGCTTGTGGTATAACAGCGCCCTCTTGTGGGGGTAGTAATACCTCAGTCCCTTTTGCAAAAAAAAAAAAAGGGGGGGGCGGAAACCGGATTTTCATCAACTAGACACAGTGGCTGATTTCAAATTTCTTGCCACTTGTCACAGTTCTTAATTATTCACGTTTATTCATATTATATTAAATAACCATTGAGAGCAGAAATCCAGCTTCCAAGTGAAGGTTGCTGAACCATGAAAGCTCATATAACAAACATAAATGACAAAATCCATCTGGATTACTGGTGGATGCTTCAGATGGTATATTTTGTGTTGTGTTTGTGACAAATTGTAAAATTCCTTTATTTTAGTTTTGTTTATTTGTTTATTTGTAAGGGAAAGGTACAGCAAAACATATATACAGTTCTATACATGTGTATAGGTATTATTTCCGACCTCAGTCCCATGATGGGCATTGATAGTTTAAGCAATTATTAGATTTAATTAGAATTATATGTTACAGTTTACGATTTTAAAATAAGTGGGTATGATAATCAAAAACAAGAACAACCATCAATGACAACAAACTGACAAGTAAAACCAACAATAAAAAAATGCAAACCATTTATAGTCTGAACTCAAGTATACAAATAACACATAACTAGTTGGTGCATATTCTGGCAAAGCTGCAGTCAAGTCTATGAAAAGTGTGAGGTTGAAGTAATTAATGAAATTGTCAAAACTGAGAAGATTGTACTTGTCTGGAGCATTGCAATGATGAAATCTTAGTGGTTTCTTCTCCAGAATTTTGATAGCTTGGTTGTAAAGGGATGCTAGTGGTTTAATGACAGAGGCCAATGGCTAAGACCCAGAGGCTATGCAGTACTACTGTGCAGCAGTGTATGAGTAAATGTTAGAGCTGTATTAAATGGTAAGTAGTGTCTGAAATGCCAAAAGGTTTGAAGATAAGCTCTGGGTTCTTCCCATCTTTTAATGCGTTTGTCAAACGTTAACTGAGAGTCCAAAACAATTCCAAGATACTTCAAATCCTTTTCTGTCTCTAATTCACTGTCTTTCATCCTCACTTTGAAAGTATCTTTGATTAGGAGTTTTCTGATTGAGAAACACAGAGTAACACCCAATTTGTGCAAAAAATATATATATAATCAAGAGTTAAGCATTATTATCCCTAAGAAAACCTCACTGTAATGACCACTAATTCACAGACATTGACACACAATTAGAAATCCAATACATTCATCTGTCGTACTGCGCACATTATGCAGAGTTTTTCTAATTGGCCCTGTGAGGCAGTAGTCTACGCACATTTTGTCAGCTGGGGACAGCAGCTGTCAATCAAAAAGCATCTTTATAACCAGGCGCTGAAGCTGAATCATTGTGTCTCAGAATAAACCCGGGGACAGACAGGAGCTCCACTGTGATCATCGATCGTCAATCGATGCCTTCTCTGATGCAATTACTCTAACACGTTTAGACTCAGAGTGGCAGTATTGCTAAATATATGAAATCTGTCTTTTGAGCACTTCAATTTTAGGAAATCTTCTACCCAGTCGTTCCTAACCTTTTTTCTTATCCTGGCTGCTTTTGACTTTTCCTATCCTTTCTTTCTGGAAAACATGGATAAGTTGAGTGAGAACAATGCAACAGTGGTGAACAGCTCCATAGACAAGTGGTCATTCAATGAACATGGCTATTACCAGCACCTGGATCATGGGGATCTGAGGGTCCTGGTGCCGGTTATTCTTGGAGTCATCTGTGTCTTGGGTGTGGCTTGTAATCTCACTGCAATGTTCATCTTGTTCTCCAACGCTCATAGAGGCAAACTATCTCTTATCAACTCCCTCATCTTCAACCTGATGTTTGCTGATGGACTGGTATTGATGTTTACGGTGCCTTTCAGGGCTGCCTCCTACTCCAAAGCTAGCTGGAATCTGGGCTGGGTGGTCTGCAAGACAGCTGACTGGTTCCTCCAATCCTGCATGGCAGCAAAGAGCTTCACAGTGGCTGTCATGGCCAAAGCGTGCTACCGCTACGTGTCCAACCCCACCAAGCAGGTGAGCATCCACCTGGGCTCTATCCTTGTGGTGTTCTTCTTCATCTGGCTGTCTGCTTGCTCTGTCACCATCCCTCACTGGCTGTTTGCTAGGCTGCAGAGAGAGATCCGGGGGCTGGTGTGTGTGCTGATAATTCCTCCTGAAGCCAGTAATTTCATGTCTGTGTACGTCAAAGCATACCCCTTGGGGGTCTACTGTGCACCTCTCAGCTTTGCCCTGATGTATTTCTGGAAGGCTTACGGCCAGTGCCAACGCCGCTCCAGTAAGACTCAGAACCTCCGCACACAGATCAGATCCAGGAAGCTCACCTTGATGCTATTCAGCCTGACTGTGGCCATGGCTATTCTCTGGCTTCCACAGTGGGTGGTGTGGGTTTGGGAGCGTCACATAGCAGAGAAGGAAATAGAGGGAGCCAAGCCCCTTGTCTCCCCTCTTCCTCTTCTTCTAACCCTCTCTGCACAGTTGCTCACCTTCTCTCTGTCCCTGGTGAACCCTCTAATAGTCCTCTCCCTCTCCGAGGAGTTCAGAGAGGGCTACAGGGGGCTGTGGAGGCGCCTCACCCTGCGCAAACAACCTCCTCCAAAGCCAAAACCCGGACCTCACAACCCTACAGCTCACCAGTCGCCTTGCCCCAGACCAGAAACTTCTGGCCAGCTGCAGGGGGAGAAGAGCCTACTATCAAGCTCCAGCCAGGGTCCCAGCAGAGAGGCTCAGCCCAAGCCGGAGCAGGGAGGAGGAGGAAAAGAGGTCGACACTGCAAGCCTCAAAGATGGGATTGTCTTGCCTGATGTGGAGCAGTTCTGGCATGAGAGGGAGACTGGATTGCACACAGACGAAAATGATCCTGTGCCGTGGGAGCACCAGAGCAAAGAGGAGAAAATATAACTTCCACCTTCCTGCTGATCTTATATATCATCTTCATCACAGTACTCAGACAGCAGCAGCTTCATCAACAGACCTCAGTTGAATGGACTGCTGAGTGCTGCACCGTAAATCATTTGTATTCTTCTATCTATTCACTGTGTTTATGATATTATTCAAAGGTAAGAAGTGCAATCAGTATGGAATACGAGTGTGGACTATAAATAGAGCAGTGTCGTGTGTATGCATAATGTTGTCTTTTGTTGTTTAATGAGGAAAAACTTCATTATAATTAGCGTAAGATGACTTTTGGTGGCTGTAAAATAAAGCTTCTGGCAAGGATGACAATGTGAATTCAATACACAGTAGATTTATATAAGTTTTCAGTATATTGTGTGGTGAATGAACCTTGTAATTTACAGTTTTCTTGAAGTATTTGGGCATAATACTGCTCAGTCATTTTGCTGGTGAGTTGCAAGGGATCCTCTGGGAAAGACAGGAATCTTGATTTGAGATCCTAATTGGAGGTACAGTCAACACTATAAATTTATTTTGCACTCATGTGAAATTATTGTTTGTATATACCCCTTGGATAATAGTGCTGTTAAAGTTGGCAGTTATTTGTGTGACAGTAAACAAATCTGTGTCTCCAGTCCTTTTTCTGCGAGAAAGATTATTCATATTAGTTATTATTAATCATTGTGCATCTGAATGACCAGTGTTCATAATAAAGGCAATTCTAAAAACATAGCCTTTGTGTGATAAAACTGTTTTGTGGTGTGAAAAATGACATAGATTAGAAGTATAAATTCTACTTCTACTGCACAACAGCAGTATAGATGTTGATGTGTGTTTTATTTGTGTATAAGTCCAGTCACAAATGTTCTGAAATCAGTGACACACACGCATACACCACCAACACACACATACAGAAGAATCTTAATGACTCAGACATCAGCGGATGGTTTCCTGCTGACATCAGGTCATTAAATATATTTTCATAAGGGCATCCATTAGAATTGCCAAGGGTTCTAATTAGAGGTAAAGAGCTTTCATCTGAACTCAGATGGAGTCGTTTCAGTGGACTCACCTCTGTGGGAGTCTCATAAGGAATTCTCTCTTCATTGATCTGAATACACATGGTAGGTCAAAACCTCACAGTTAAAGGGATAAACAACATTAGGAAACTGTGCCTGAGCTGATCTAAGATTGATTTGTCTGTGTGATGTAACAGGAACCCGGCTGTGCTGAACAATGAAGCAGCGTGTATATAATCCCACTATTCCCTCTAATGAAAGACCTACATTCTACATTTTAAATGGGGTTAAATGTATAATATTGGCATAATAAAATGTACGTAAGAAGTCAGAAGAGAGCAGAAGAACATTTAGGATTTGGAGTCTTTCCATAGTTACCTTACACCTTTTTTTTGCCCCCACCCCCTCTCCCTTATGACATTTTCCTCTCATTAATCATTAATGTTGACCTTTTATTGCCAGAGGCAAGTCTCTCAATCAGAACAACACTTAACTATATAACCCACCATCAGTCCCTGGGGTAGTGACCTGGCCATAAACACTGAAGGCAAAAAGCTGTGCTCTTATTGTTGGACTGAAATTTTAACCTTCAGTCTATAAATAGAGAGACGATTAAAGGTTATTGTACAGCAATAATACGAAAACAGTAACTGTAAGCATTAATGATAGTTGTTGCACACTATTTCCAGCCGTTACTGTTTGACACATCTGACTTACTCTGGTAAATGAGCCGGTAAATCTGCAGTTGTGGGATTTTATCCCATTTCAATAGAAAGGCCTGAAGCTGCTAATCACTGGCAGGCAACTGGTACAATGCAGGCCATCCCATATTTCAGACATACTGAATGCCTTTTAGAGCTCCTATCATACACCAATCCAGGTTTCACCTGTTTTGCCTGATTAGACCAGGAATGGCGAGTAAGCACCTGGCTGACACCTCCCTTGCTCCCTTTGCACCATCATGCCGCTTTTCCAGCAAAAAGTGAGTCCTGATTCTATGCCACATACTAGGCTACTCGTTTTTGCAGTAAGTATACAAGAAAATCTAAGTTTACCATTTTGCAATAACAGGAAGCTATGCAACGTGTGTGCATCAGTCAAACTGCAATTTTGGAATCACACTGTGAATTAAACTTCACTTTAGGACAAAGCACAAAGTGTTTTTAGCCAAAGATTAATTCTTTATTTTTAGCTTTCTGTAGCTGTCTTGCCACCATATTAAATGTAGTTTGTTTTTGTGCAGCTGTGTGTAGCTTATTCATTCCCTCTGTATATTGCAAAGTGGGACAATAGTGTGCATCATCAGCACACTCAGAACAAAGTGTTTGCATTCTGTCTTGAGTACTAAATTTAGCCATGTTTCCTGTGTGAGAAAAAAAACTGTATGGTGACCTAAGCTTTTGAAAGCTCCTATACACACCAGCCCAGGTGTTTACACTTATTGCGCCTGATAAGACTTTACAGACCGTACTGACACACACTCCTGTTAGTTAGTTGCACTTGTTTTGGCAGGATAACTTACACATTTTTCACTCTGGCTGTGTCTGAAATCCCTTAATCACTCACTTTTTCCGCCATAATAATAAACGTATGCATTATTGGTTAAGTATTAACCAGTCAATATGGTGCTATATAATAAGTAGTAAATTGTGATTTTCTGCAACTAGGGACTGATTTCAGACACTTTAATTATGTAGCTTTGTGAGCTGATGTGATTCTTAGCATAGCTCAGACACAACCTGAATGTAATCAGCAGAATAATTGTAAACATGTGTGCAGGGTGACTCAGCATTTTCCCAGCTGGACCTCATTAGGTCAAGGTGTGACTAACGACCTTCTGGATTAGACTAAAAACTTAAATTAAAACTAAATATGCACAATGTGTAACTATAATTTAGTCATACCAGAAAATGTTTTATGTTTATATGCATCAATAGCCTATGTAGGTTTTCATCCTTAAACCCCCTGGAGGAAGGGACACTTAAATACAGTGCTGCTATGTGGTAGATACTGATGTATTAGCTGGTATTTGCCCTTAGTTGTCATAGTTGATACTGATGAATAATTGCAGAATATTTTACTATAAAACAGCATAGCTAATTAAAAGAAACACTTGTAACAATGTTGAGTAAAAATGGAGAGAGTTCAGGATGAACAATCTAAGAATACAGGGATTGATTGAGAGAGAAATTGGTGAAAAAAGGAGTGTGATAATCAACATTACAAGTGGAAAAACAACTCGGGCTTAATTGGGTCATTATAGAAAGCAGGGGAGCTTTCAGCAGGTGAGATCCTCTCTTTACTGCCCTCCCGGCTGCACATCCCTCCCGCTGTGAGGGGAGGCGGGGGTGTCACCCCTGCGTTTTATCCCTCAGCCAATCATCATCTCTAATAAATGAAACTCCACAGGAAGTGACATGCGAGCTAACACTAATTATGCTCAGCTGGAGATTCTGCAATTAAGCCACATGCTAAAACCTTTGCCTGCCAATGCCACATCTCCCTCTGAGTCACAGTTACCTTTTGCCTCCCTTTGGTCCTGTGGAAGATCACCTGGCTCTTCAGTCCGCAGAGAGTCAACCAGGGAGTGTGTGTGTGTGGTTGTTTTTGTGTTGGTAGAAGGTTGGTTCAGGGGGTCTGGCCTTGGTATTTAGCAGTCTTTTGATTAGAATAAATCAGGTAGCTTTCATCTCAGTGAAGGATGTGGAGATCTAAAGGGCAGGCACCTTTCAGTGCTAAGAGGGGGTGTCATTTAAACCTATGCATACACTATCGATTTATAATTGTTCAAAAAGCAGAGGGATGCTTATCAAAGGTCTCCTCCAGTAACAACACAATGAAAACACCTATAAGAGAATCATGGAAGTGATGTGAATGTACTCTCACTCTCTGAATTTGGCATTTCTTAATAAGAATCACCTGATCATCAATGCACTTTTTTGTGACAAATTGTATAGTATAGTGCAAGTCCTAAAGGTTCAACACAGTTTTGGTAAAGATATGTTCAGCAGATGCAGTTAAAGGGCCAGTGTGTAACATTTAGGAGCATCTATTGACAGAAATGGAATATAATAATCATAGGTATGTTTTAATTTGTGTATAATCACCTGAATATTGGAATCATTGTGTTTTTGTTACCTCAGAATGACACGTTTTTATCTACACATGTTGAACCACCATGTTTATACAGTAGCCCAGAACAGACAAAGCAAATACTGGTTGTACATAGGGCCTTTTGGATTTTCTGCAGCTTTTGAGAGCCATCTACACACTTCTCAGACCCTTCTCATTCGGGGCGTCAAATACAGACACCAGAGGTATTCAGTTAGTTGGAATCTACAACTTGACCGCTAGAGGCCACTAAATCACGAAAGAGTGTTTGTGCTACTTTTAGCTCATTGTTTTGGTTTTAAGGTCCACAACTGTACAATTGTGGCAGTCTTACCACTGTTTTGGACACAGCAGTGCAGCTGTTTCATGTGGAAAAGCTCTGATAAACAAGTAAAGAGTCAGATACTTCCCTCAGTAGTTGGTGGAGACAAAAACAGAGTTAAAAGGAATAATAGACAAGAAAACAGGACTTTACAGTGTGATGTGTCAATCCATTTAGCCACTAATTTTATGTACTTTATTAATCCCTATGGGGAAACTCTTCTGTTTTTTTTGTCACACACATAGACTCTGCTAGCTATGCAAATGTGGAGAGATGGTGGAGTGATTGGCTGTCACACAGCAGCACCCCAAGAGCACTTAGGTTAGTATGTTAGTTAAAACATGTTCTCCTGTTGAACTCTAACTTTACTGCAGTTCTGTGAGGAGATCCTTTAGCTGTATACCAATTTGGCAGAAGTAGAACACACTCAAACTCTCATATTATTGGCCTGAATGTAGAGGTCATTGTACCTGTGTGCAGGAATTGCTGCTTGCACAATGAAAAGTGTAACATGCTCTTAAATCCCGGTATGAACAAGATCACATGTATTGACAAAACACAACCAGTTAAAATGTATAATATCATGTTTTTATTTTTCCATGTATTTGAATTCCAGTTGAAGACAGTGTTGCACAGTGTCAGGATTTGCATAGGTCTGATAAGAAGATAAAACATGGCAGCTGACAGACTGTGTTTCCACATTACAGATTAAACCAGTTCTTTGCCCCAAGCACTCAAATGGACCAGGATTTTTACAGTACCTTACAGTAATGCCAAAGTTATCACCTCCAGTTTCATAATATAGTCTTCTCAGATAGAGTAGCATTATAGCATTTTGGTCATGAGGGAACTTTTTTTTTTTTGACATCTTTGGACCAACATGAAAAATTATTTAAACTGATGGTGCAATTTTGAAATATTTAACTGATACATTTGATTCATTTTTGCTCCTAATTTGAAATTTTACTGGACAACTTAATCAATGGTAACCTTAAAGTGATACTTCACCCAGAATATTTTTTGGTATCAAATACTCACCTCCTGTAGGCTTGAAACATGACTTTTACTAGTGGGTACTTTTGTAGAAGGATATTTTAACAGCTACCTTTAACACCTTCAGGGGGTGCTCAAAGTGTAACATCACAATATAAAATCATTAAAACAAAACTAATAATGCAGTGCAACTGAAAAATCCCTAACATTTCCTGCTACATATCAGACATGTATCTCTCATCATAAGCATATACTTACAGCATGCATGAAGGGCTTTCACTGGTCCCTGTTGGTCCAGTTAAAATCCCATCCTTATTCACACAAAAGAAGCGTAAGCACTTCAACATTGGCATATTTTCTTAATATAAGATATCCCTTTACAGGCTACATTGTAAACATTCATTTTTCTTTGTGAATAAATACTCCCGGAACAGTGTATCAACACTGCTGTACACATGTAACAATTTCACATTTCCATTCATTTGTGAGACAATAAAAACAAAAAAAGTTCTTAAATTCACAGCTCTGGCTGTTTCAAGTTGCAGACACATTAGGCTAATTTATAAAACACAGATTAAGCCTAAATCTTAAAACATAAGACTTAAAACGTACTCATGTAATTCTACAAATTTCCCTCAGCACACATCAGTGTACACTGTAATCCACAGAGAATCAAGTAGTCCATTACTGGATGCAAGTGGTGGTCCCCAATATCTCCCTGAGCTCTTAGGTTCTGTAAGAAGCAAAAAAATATATATATATATAAAAGCCATTAACAAGGGGATTGCATAGATTTACAATAGAAAACGCCACCAGGTAAATTACCTGTTTGGCTTTCTCTGTCCAGCAGATGGAGCCAAAGCAGCTTTTCCTCGTTGCAGGGCATTAGTAGTAATATGCACGCCTTTGATTTGTTGCTGCTCCTGCATAGAAAAATGACAAGTCAGACATGTCACATAAATTTAACTAAAGCAAAATATGCCTATTTAATTAAAACCAAACAAAAATTATTCACCACAGATGGCTTGTTGACAGGTAAAGGCGGTGGAGGTCTATTTGGGGGGTCTGGTCGGGGTTTGGGTACTGCTGAATGCGGTGAATGGGTTTTGGTATCCAGAGAAGGTAAAGGTGGAGGTCCTGAGGGTGGTGGCGGAGCCTGGTTTTGTCTCTGATCAGATTTAAGAGGAGGTGAAACATAAGCCTGAGGAGAGTATTGTCTCTTAGTAGAATCGGCTACAGGCAGGATCTGAGTTGGAGCCATCAGCTGTTTCTGCTCTGCAGCATACGCAGGTACGGGAGGAGGCTTCACTGCTGGACGCACAATAGCATGCCTGGACCGAGTCGGGCAAGACGGGCTCGGACGAGGAGAGGGTTTCCCCTGTGGAAGAATGCAGCCATAAAAAAGTTCAGTGGTTTATTATAATATTTAATAATAATAATAACAATAATAGATGAGGTAATCATGTGCTTCTTTACCAACTCCTGTTTTTTTAGCAAGAATGTCGGGTTGGCATGTCCCTCAACTGGGACTGAACAACTGTGGGTTAAAAAACAAAAGACCCACCCTTTATACATCCACATAACACAGATTTTAGAGCAAAAGTACTCACCAGCAAGTATTAGTATTTAACATATCAGAATTACAAACTTTGGCACTGGAGGTGGAGCAGAGGTTTTCAGTGGGTGAAGTTTATGTCTATAGCAGCACCACAGTCCAACAGCAGCCAAAACCACAAAGAGAACCAGGGGTAGGACCAACAGGACTGGAAGGAGATTGCCTGTTGGAAGGTAAAATTGTTAAGATTTAGAAATTTGTATATTAACAAAAAAAGAAATATAATAATAAAATCAATATATGAAAAATGCAGTTGTCTCACTGTGGCTGATGACAGGTCCGCTGTCTACACTGCCCCCTGACCCACTCTGGTCACACAGAGGAGGAGCCCAGCCCACATCACAGTGGCAGTTATGATTGTTATTGCACAGCTGGTGAAAGAACATATCATCCATTAAAATTACAACATAAATGTTCATATTCATTACGTCGATATAGAGGTATAGTTAATTACATTTTAGGACTACAGAAGGACTTCTACATTTCATTCTACATAGAAACAAATTCAAGGTTCAGTGGTATGTAACTAAGTACATTTACTCAATCACTGTACTTTTTGACTTGTGCTTCCATTGAATATTTCCATTTTCTGCTACTTTATACTTCTACACAACAACATTTGAAGGAAAACTTTGCAGTATAGTATCAGAATCAGAATCTGCTTTTGAAATTTGGCTTTCATTTCTCTTATCGTACTAACAGGAATAGACATAACAGCTAAGAACAAGGACAGCAAAGCTGAATATTTTACCATAGCTTTATTGCTACTTTTAATTAAGTAAAAGATATAAATACTTCTTGCACCACTTCCACATTTGCCAGCTTTTCAGAATTGTGGGCTAGCAGCCAAATCCATTTCCCTTAGTATCGTTCCTCACACATATAGAAACTTACCCCGTGTCCATGGCACTTGGCATTGCACTCATCAGCTCTGAGGAAAGATGCATTGCGGCATTCTCCATTAAAGCAAATCTGTTGAGAGAAAGAGGGGTGTGAGGAAGAGAAGGGGTAAGAACATCAAGTGCTTCTTATTAGCAGAATTCTTACTTTACTTGCTTCCTGACAGATTAAAATATACTGACATCTCAAAAAGACATCTAAAGCATGCTTTCTGCCACAACAATAAATTCCATTCATCATATCTCCACATATGTATAAGTCTCACCGAGTCATCACCACACTTGGTGCCCGTCATGACCAGACCAGGGTCCAGAGTATCGCCCTGTGCCTCTTCATCCCCCTGCCCATCCTTGTACACATGTGTTCCCATGCAGTGGATCTTCTTGTGGCCCAAATTGACAGTGGTTTCTATGCGAACAGCATTGTTCTCAATGGGCTTGGAAGCTGAAGTTAAACACTGGATTTTCCCACATTGAGCATCTCTGGCAGAAATAATAAAAAGCATATAATCAATTTGTAGGGATTGATCAATGACTAGAAAAAGGCCACAGCATTTTAACTTCTCAGGAAATGTAGATACCCTCTTTGTACTGAGGGAGTAAATGAACCTGAATGTTTTGAACTTCACCTGTCCTTACAGCTCCTGTATTTCCCAAGAAGATCTTTACCACAGTTCCCGAACATGTCCCCAGCTTCGTTTACCTTCTGAAAACACAGGTCAGGGGCCGGAAGGCCATCTGTGATTGAAGAGGAGAAAATACACAGATGCACATTAATATGGCTGCACATACACACACATAATAACACACACATACAGTAAATGCATGCACAGTGTTTTATGTGACCACCTGATGGAGACCAGATGGCATCCCTTACTGTTCTGTGTGGCTCCTGTGGTACTACAAAGGCTCTCCAGGGATGCTCTGTCACAACGTGAATATGGACACTGTCCAATAACAGTTCCTAATCCTGTGACCCACTGAGGGCTAATCTCTAACTCTATCCAGCCTCTCTGCTTCAACATGTGCTGAATGTTTAACTGCTTTAAAGATACAATGTGACATTATTTGATGACTGACATTTTGTGCTTTTACATTAAAGAGTTAGGCTACATTTAAACTGATTATCTCATTAAAACTTTTATCATCCCTTCATGCCATGAAAACTAAAGTAGAGTCTAACAAGAGTCTCAATTTGGGAATTCCTTAATTCAGTTTACCTCAAAATATATGTCAATCTTGCGTCAATATTACATATTAAGGTTTTATCACCTATAGTATATACAAATAATGGTGTCAGGACTGTTTTAAATTAAACAGACATTTTAATTTGCATGTGCAATCCAATCAAGAATTTGTCTTAATTTGCAAATAGACTATAGACTATATAGAAAACCCCTCATTGATATAAATAGAGGTATTAGACTGCATTAATTTTGGGTATCCCGTAGATATATTGCAATACTGTAAGCTAAGCGATATATAACAATTTTAATTTAATATTTTCTTACATCCCTAATATGCATGTATCAAACATGCTACTATGAGATCAAAATAAAGGATATACGCCCTTTTAGAAGAAAAGATTTATAGATTACCAACATCTGGTTTACCCACCTCGTCCCCACAGAGACCGACACTGCTGCTCCAGGGTCAGACACATGCCGGTGTAACAGTAGGCCTGCCCGCCTGCGCAAGATGTACCATCCACCAAATAGAAATTAGCAGGACAAGACTCTGCTTTCCCATCGCAGTACTCTGGCAGGTCACACGACCCTGAGGGAGCACGACACAGCACACCTGGGCTCTTCAACTGGAAAGAGATGAAGAGGAGGAAGAGAAGTTTAGGAAAAAACAAGACAAACTGAGATGAGGAGAGACAGATTTTGTTAAGAGGTTAGTACCTTGCAGTTCTGACAGCAGACACCATGGGCACACTCAGCTCCAGCTTTCAGAGTGCAGTTGTTGGCATTACAGCAAGGACTGGTGCACTCCTAGGCAAAAAAGTGTAGCAGAGTGAAGAGGCATGAGTCTTGGCAAAAAAGATACAAGGTAAATATATACTGCAATATTTGAACGACACAACACACTGACATCTTCTTCTCCACAGTCACATTCTTCTCCGTCCTCCAGGTAACCATTGCCGCAGCGCTGCCCTCCATACATGGATCTGGTGTTTGGCAAGTTGAAGAGACACTTCCCGCCTCCAGAGCCCAGGTAGCTCTTCAGCTCCTTCAGGTTACAATCGTTAAACACACGAGGAAATGGATGCCTGGGCCGTGAGGAAGATGCAGAAATACAGTAGGTAAGAAATGTCATCTTTCAAATCTTCAATCTCTTGTTTTTCTCTTCAATGTCAGTTTAATAACTCTAATTTGTTTAACCATGGGGAATTTGTGTACCCGGTAGCAGCAGCCATGATACAGCCTCCGTCTTCAGCCTTCGCCTGACAGCAGCCTTTACTGTCGTGGCTCATACCAAAGTTGTGGCCCATCTCATGCGCCATGGTGGCAGCTACACCCACAGCTGACTCTGAGTGGTCCTATTCAAAAGAAGAGGCAAAGATTAGTTAAAGAGAAGAGGACAAAGTCAATTTTTCAGTGAGAGAGTAAAGTAGTGTAAAAAAAAGTATGTTGCGTGTATTTCTCATTGCCTTTTGGTAACACACTGACATTACACTATACTAACCTTAAATAATTTAAACTCAAGACCCATATTAGATCATATTTCTTGTTTGTAAACCATCTGAGCTAACAGCCACCCCTTCTGGATATCCCCAGGTGAGCAGAGTATCTAAGATATATAAGACATGAATTTGTATTGACATATAGAGGATTAATGTGTGTTTAGACTCTTATATCTCACCGTGTTCACTCCACCCGACTGGTAGTCAGAGCACATGGCTTTGAGAGGTGCCAGGCCGATAGTGGTGCCCTGGAAAGACCTCCCCCTGGAGACACAAAACGCCACTGGTGATTAGTTCCAACTGGATAACTTCTCACTGTGATACAACTGGTGATGGTTATTGTCTCACACAACGGAGATAAAATCAATTGAGAGATCTACCCTGGGGAAAAGGAGGCTTAGAGGAGCGAGGGGGGTGTTAGTGTTGGAGAGGGTGAGGAAAGACAAATGGGAAGACTAGTGGTAGAGTGACTGACGTGATGAGCTGAGCGTTGTCATTGGGGAGCACGCGGAGCTGTTTGCGTCTCCAGGACAGGAATGCTGCCAGAGTGCTGTGAGGGTTGTCTGACATGCTGATCATGTCCTGGCTTGTCCACACCTCCATACCAATTAATGCCACACGAATGTTTAAAGCCTTGTAGTACTGCAAGAGTATGAGACAGGAAAAGTCAAAGACACAGAGTATTGCTCATCACTACTAAATATAGGCGTGAAGAAACTGAGTTTGTGGTTTTCAGCATTAAGGTAGTACCTTGTCAACCAAGTTGGCCGCTTCCAGTAATTTCAGTTTGGTCTTGTCAAGACTTCCTCCATGCTTCTCAAACTGAAAAAAAAGAAACCACATTGTACACAGAAAAAGACAACTCCAAACCTCAAAAGGGGACTTACAGGAGATGATTCATTCATTTATATTTAAAAGGTAGTAGGTGTAACGATTCTCTGAAATACAATTCTAATTCTTACCCCACCCTTAACTAGCTCTGAAAATAGAGATGGGTGCCATCTGCTGAGGTTGTTCTCTTTGTTTAGGTTCATCACAATACTGCATAAGGTAGAAACATACTATTTATACTGTATATAAATATAGTTCAAAACATCCTTCCATCCATTAGCTGTACCCACTTCTCCTTGGGGGTTGCAGGGGGATGGAGCCAGTCCCAGCTGATACTGTGCCAGTCAACCACAGGGCAGACCCATAGAGACAGACAACCATTCACACTCACACATGAAAAATGGTGCTGTGTTTCCATGATCTCATGATACTTAATTCTGCCTACGTAGGTGATTTCACATACAAAGCCACATCATGTACTCCCACACTGAAAGATTTCTGTCTGTTTTAGTGACCAAATATGACCGTATTCACAACCGTGTCCTCACCTCAGCCTTGTCTGCTGCTATCAGCAGCTCTACATACTTCATATTCTGGCTCAGGTCCCTTTTTTCCTGAAAATGTATACAGAATAGATTATTACAGAATATGTGGTGACAATATCTTGAAGGCGATCATCATTCGTCCTGTCAAAACTCACCCTCACGCTCCGTGGTGACATCATTCCATGGATGAAGTCATTAAGCCCCTCCCCATGCTCCTTGTTGCCGTAGTGATGCAGGCAGCTACCTCCGGATAGATGGAGACTCTCGGCTCTGAACACAGCGTGTTGCTGTGCATCCGTGGAAGCAGGAAGAGGCTCTATCAGGTAGCTGACGCTTGTGTTCAGAGAAATCAGTCCCCTGGGAAAACAAGACACTAGTGATGGTTCCATCCAATCAATGTGGGTTAGTGCTGTCTGCCTATCTGCACACTGTGATATTATTGTTTCTATTGCAAATATTGTAAATAAAAATGTCCTTTTGAAACCATAAAACATCAGATTAAATGTAATTGTTTGCAACAGTAACATTTATAGTCAAACTGCTGCATGGGTAAAAACATATGGTTGCATATTAGATTCGATTTTTTTTAATTTGGCTGTGGACGTTTTATGGATGGGTGGAGGAGTATATCGTGTCTCAGGTGATTTACTGCTGTTTATAAATGAATATCAGCTGGGACAGACAGAGCGATACACAATCCTCTGGCGTCTTCACAAGAGCACTCATGAGTGCGGACACAAACACACGAGCATGCACACAGCAGCAGGTCAGGCAGCTGTAGAAAACATCTGGAGAGGTCAGACGCCCACATGTCCATGTCCCTCTATGCCGTGTTTGCATTTCTCCAGAGAATCAACATAAGTAGGAAGACGTATTCATCCACTTGTCCTCCAGATGCAGAGCACTGAACCCACAACAGCACACATATGGCTACGATTTCTATCAGTGCTTGCCAGTTGCTCCTCTGTTCCTCTGTCTTATCTCAGTGTCTCTAGCAGGAAGAATCAGCTGCCCTGGATCCACACCAGGAGAAAACACAGGATCTCCATACTGGGCTGTACTCAATGAACCAACTTGTGAGCCAATGACTTACTAACCTACTGGACTGCACAAGACACCACACACAACTGTTTCCTGTCATTATCTTCTCAGCCATGGTTTTTATCACAGACTGAATGGTTGTGCAGGCTTTGGTTACAAATTCTTTTCATCTTCAAAATCAGGATTATTCTAAATTTAGCCTTAAGATTCATATTAAGCACTGGTTGACCCTGTTGCTAGTGTGTACATTTTGAAAATCTCAACATGCTAGGTAGAAGTCTACATGCTACTTTTAAAGTTTTTAAAGTGTGACTTTCTAGTACTGTCAAAATAAATTGTGTTAGTAAAAATAACCTAAATATTTTTAGATTTGTGCAGTGCTTACAGCATTTGCACTTTAAATTCAGGTTTCTGCAATACCCAGGTTTCTTTAAAATCTGTGTGTTGTGTATAGGACAAACCTCGTTTCTCAGTAATCAGGGAAGGAGATTGTCAGCTAGACCTCTCGAAAAAAGGTAATTTCAGGTCAGATGCAAATGCAACTGGCTTTCTGATCAGCTTCTTACAGGTATAGGAATTGTAGTGATGTTCTGAGCTGTGAAAATGACTCAACATTTAGATACATTTCCTCGTCTATTTTGGTAGGTTGACTAAGATAGAAAATACTAAGGTAACAATAGCAAATTATGCATTATGTTATGTTGGGCGGGCGTTCTATCACTGACTCAGAAAACACTGAGGAAATTGCTGTGCATCCATTAATTCTCTTTTGTTTGCCCAAAATGTTTGCACGTCAGCTGGAAAACAGATAAAAAGAGGCTGTGAAATTGGCCTTAATGGACCAAATAGCTTTAATTAATTGAGTGAGTGGTGCAAACACATCTTTAAGAAGATCTACCAGAAACATCACCCCCACACCATATATATATATATCCGTAGCACTAACTTCCTGCTTTACAGTGTTGGGAAAACTTTTCTCTTGGCCCTACTTCTTGCAGCTCTTTACTCCCTTACTGAAGAAACTCTTCTTCCCTGCTCTTAACTGTGGGAGCTGTCTTCATGGATAACTTTTTTTATTTTTAGAGAGATTTAGTCGCATGGGAGACTTCTTAGAATTTTAAGAAATGTCTTTCACTGGTGGGACCAACTCTAAATATTATAGAAAACTTTCTGAATACAGCCCGTGGTGGAGTTTTACATACCTGAGTCCTGAACATGTGCTAACAGCAACACTTGAACCCACCATGCCCAGAACCTCCCCATGGTAGAGACAGTGTCCCTGGAAGACAAAAACAATCAAAGCTCAGCACAGAGGTCTAGGAAGCAGAGTGATGCAGCATCAAGAGGCCGCAATTCAACCAGAGGACCTTGTTATATAAGCAAGACATGTAGTATTTATGTCCATACTGTTATATTCTGCCTGTTATACTCCTGCCATATGATTTAATCTGCTGCATTGATATTTATTTCTCTTCTATGATCATTTACAACTCCCTGCTGCACTTTGAAAACATCAAACTGTCTCTTAGACTTACAGTGCTGGCAGGAGAGGAGGACTTGCGGGCTCCATCAGGAGTGTACCATATTTCCTGATATCCAGGGGCCAATAGCTGCCTGGTGAAAGACAACACAAACTCTGAGGCAATTTGCAAGAGAATATAAATAGTGTCAAACACTCATTCTCCTGTAACAGCAACAATATGATGGAACAATGGTGAAAAATATACAGAGTAAAAGCTGCAGGAAACAGCAGAGATAGAAGATTCTCTCCAGCAGCTCACAGCTCATTAAATATTCACTCTGACAAAGGGCACTCTACAAAACCAGACTGCTTTAAAGATTCAGACACAAATCCTCTCAGAGATCAGAGGGAATACAAAGAATAACGTGGAAAAGCGTGGTGACTATAATAAAATCCATATGTACCTTTCCGTCTTTTACTTTCTGGAGAATATAGCTGGAGTAGGAAATGGTAACTTCCCTATGCTGAGAGTTAAAGTTTGTTGGTATGTCCAGACTGCTTGTGTTTGACAAGGCTATTATTTACCAACGACCTCCTATTTTTTCTCTATTACTGGATTTTCTCCATTAGTATACAGACTGTACAGCAGAGGCTGATAAATCAGGGAAACGTGTATATCGAGAGGAACATTAATTTCATTGTGCTAAAGCATTACATTCCTCTTACTCTCTCCATCTGTGTGTGTGTGTGTGTGTGTGTGTGTGTGTGTGTGTGTGTGTGTGTGTGTGTGTGATTGAGTAAGTGTCTACAAACTCTGGCTGTTTCTTTCAAACTTCTGTCAACCTACAGGCTCAATATTTACATCTCGTACAGATGCTTGTTTTCCTGTCTTTCTCCCTCCAACTCTGTCTCAATCCATTCTTCCTGTTTTCATTCATAAACTCACAGCTGGTTTGCTTTTGCTCCGTTTCTCTAAATCCCATCTCCTCTCTCCTCCCACAGTCTCAGATCCATCAAACAGGAGGTAACTGCAGTGAAATCAAGCTGTAGAGAAAGACTGGACTTAAACTGAAGTCCCAAATAAACATGAGACAGACCCAAGATGTCCTGTTAAGATGTTACTATTTATCATGTGTCGTCATATATTTTCCATGTTAGCCATCTAGTGGCTTTGCCTCAGGGTAATGGCTGTGCTAGAGCTATCTTAACTATTACACCTTTTTTATCTTTGATGTTTAGAGTGTAACTGTAACTGAAACTATTTTTAGTTGGTTGCAGTAACTTTACATATTAAACATACAACATGTTAATTAGAGGGCTTTCGAGGACATACAGTAGACATATTTTGTTATTGTTAGACAGAGGCGAGCTTGCTGTTTCCCTTTGTTTTTCTATCACTATGCTAAGCTAAGCTAACTGGCTGCTGACTGTCCTATTTAGAGTGCAGACAAGAGATTGGACTCGATCGTCTCATCTATTTCTCGTCAAGAAAGCTAATAAGTGCATTTCTCAAAATGTTAAACTAGTCCTTTAAAGTATGATGAAGACAAATGAAGGGAAGATGGGGGGTTTTTCTTTTCTCTCCTATCAGATGCCCTGAAGGACACAAGCCTCTTGAAACAATGACAGCCTGTTGATGCAATCAGCCACAAAGCAAGTCAAAGATAGAAAACGGCTGCTTCATCCTTGAACAGATTACCACTCGGGGGTTGGGGGGGTGAGAGGACACACACACACACACACACACACAAAGTATTCTAAGAGAAGACTTAAAAATGATCACTCGGTGATAATGTATCCGGCTGATGTCACCCTAAACTGGGTAACCCCCGCTGTGTTGTGATTTGACCTTCTAACCTCATTCATATCTGTCCTTCCTCTAGTTTTCCTAATTTAAGTTTCCCTAATATTCCCATCATTCCCTCATCTGTGTAACGCTCTCTGTTACGCTGACAGGCAGAATGAATGGCTGATGATTGACTGAGCTTTACTCTGCTGCTGTCACAGGAATCACCTCTTCCCTAGTGACATAATGACTCTTTCTCTCATCCATTCTCCCTGATTCTCAAATGCCAGCAGTTTGTACACCAGTAGACTGTCCGCTATATAACCTCCCACCATGTGACATAAAGGCACAACCCATTAACAAAGCCACTGCTGAAAGCACAATATCAGCATATTCACATCACTGAAAAGGTTACTGAAAAATCCCAACCTAGCAATGTATTTGTCACATTCAGATGTGGCTGCTGTCTGTAATACTGAAATTCAAAAACAGTTCATGCCTCATCTGTTTAGGCGGTGAAAAATACCTCTAAGATATAACTTTGTAATGCCATAACCACTGTCGTTATACACAAAAACTTCACAAACACTGAAACGAAAGATCAAACAATGCATCTTTTTACCGCAAAAAACAACCAACCCAGAACCACCCAAACGGTATAGTTTCAATTTGCCTCATCAGTATCTCCAGAAGTGTAAAGGGGATTATCATTATCATTTAATAACTGTTTTCATAACATTCAAAACGGTAACTGCACTATTGGTATGCTTCTGGATGTAGAATCATCAAGCCCAATATTAGATAGAACAAGGGATGCAGTTTGGAAGAATTTGGGTATTAATATCTATTATATTATAATGTGTGACTCCAACAAAATTATGATAGCCTTTGTTTGGTGAAAGTAGAGAAAAGGTGAAAAAAGTTACACAGCCGTCTATGACTTATAAAATGCACTGACATCAGTTTTAATTAGTCCTGCAACAAGTGGCATATACAGAGTTATTCATGGAGAGGTGGATGAGATTATTGACTCCACTCTCATATCTGTATGCTAAGCAAGCAGTCAGCTATTTTAGCTCAGCATGAAGACTGGAAACAGGGGAAAACAGCTAGCCTGGCTCTGTGGTCACAAAATCCATCTACCAGCGAAGTCCATCACAGTGCATTACAGTCAATGCTCAATACAAAACCAACACTTCAACTAACAATTAATGAGTCCTTTTTTCAACAAAAACACTCCTCTTTTGAATCCAAGAAAGAAAAACAGACTTTTTGGCTCATGGCCAGGGGTTGGCAAGCTAACTGATCATTTTCAGGATGGACTGGGCGTCTTCCACTTGCTGGCATTGCTGGTTCATGTAGGATGCATCAATACTGATCCTCCAGTGTGGGAAAGTTGCCACAAATTCCAGATTTAAAAACTGTGAATGCTGCAAAATACAGAGAGATATACCTGGTGGTGATAGGCTTAATCGGCATTGTGTAAACTCATTTGGCAAGATGTTCATTTATATGTAAAAGTCCTATCTAATGTGCTTATTTTAATCCTTCCATAAACGGAAGAACAATTATTTGTGGTTTTACAGGAGTTATGTTGTCACTGTGAGGCTGCCAAAAAAACTACTTTTTTACAATTTGTATAGGGATTAAATAAACAAGACATAATGTGTTAATCAACTTTAGAGGTGCTGGGAGGTTTTTTTTTAACCTTTAAACAGAGCTAGCTGATTACTCATTTCCAGTCTTAATGCTAAGCTAAGCTAACCTGCTATCCACAGTATTTACCGTACAGATGTAAAAGTGGACAGATGTAAAAGCAAACAAGCGTATTTTCCAAAATGTCAAACTGTTCCTTTAAATCAACCAGTCCCTTGGAATATCCCGAACCCTTGAGTCTAATTGCAGTGTCCTAAATGCTGTGAGAACTTTCAAATCAAGACTGCGAATCCCTCTGTATGATGCCGTGAGCGCTGCACAGTTTGGATGTCGTCCAGTGTCCAGACAGATGCTGTGATTGAGGAGCGCAATACTGGCTGAATCAGGATTGTCCAGCATTGAGGGCTGGGACAAAGACTTGGTTCATCCTCATGAGGGGAGAGAAGGGGTGGGGGAGTAATGCTAATGTACTTTGGAGATAGTGAAGGAGAAGGGAGGCGAGGGGGGTCCGGGGTAATGCATTAGGGTCAGTGGGTCGCATTCTCTCATAGTGTCGGATGACATCACCACACACGGGCGAAGGGAAGGAGAAGGCTGATGCAAAGTCAAAGTACCACTGAGCAATGATGAAGAGGCTTTTATTGCACTTGAAGGCCAATGGTCTGTTGTGTGAAGCCGTGTGTGAGTGTTTCCCCAACACACAGGCCAACACACAGGCCTGGATTAAGACATCTAAGCAAACAGGGCTGCGCCACTGTGAGACTAAACAAGGGCAAGCGAGTGCATCCCTGCTCTCTGCTAACAAGACCAGTGATCCATCAGGTCTGTGCTTTTAGTCTTGTTTGTGTTCTTTTGGGCTGCTGTGTGTGTGTGTGTGTCGCCTGTCTGCGTGTGGCCACAGTCTACCAAACCCTGACCGCAGAGAGCGCGTGGGAGATGTATATTCGTACTAGAGCCCTGGGGAACATCAGATGAGGTGAGGGAAGGCAAGAAATGAGAAAGAATGGGGTGCTCGTTTTTAGAGTGGACAGTGGAAGACATATGAGGTGAGGAGGAGAGGAGCAACAATGATGTGTACATTTCCCAAGGGAGTGCTTAATTCAGGTTCATGCACTTAAGGGTGTGCAGGAAGGGCATTAAAAGAAGAACAGAGAAAGTCATGCAGAGGAGGAAGCAAGAATATCCACACGATTCATATCTGAACCAAACATGCATTACTCACACCCAAACTGACCCCAAATGTCTCTACTTTCCTCTTTCCATGACTTTCCTCACCTCAACCCTTCTCCTCCGGACCATCATTCACTTTCTTACACTGTTTCCTCCCTCTCTTACTCTGTTTTTACATCCCTCTTCCTGCACTCTGAGTCAGCACACTAGCCCCCATCTGGCTCTTAACCAAATCAACCCTCTAAGGGGCACAGCACAGCCCTTCATTAAGATAAAAGCTTAGGCGAACACACACCCACACCGATTGCACGTACAAACCAAAAAAAGACCAATGCGCCCACACACACACACACACACACACACACACACGTGTACATTGACAAGCATGACTCGGGAGGACGTAAATGGATTGGATTTGCACTCTGGGAGTACTGATGCCCACAAAGATACACAGCTACGTGTTTCTCCAGGTTTTGCTTAAGTGATAGATTAAAGTGAAGTCACTGGAATTAAAAGGAAGAGTGTGGAAAAAAAATAGATGTAAAATGCTGCAGGAGGATAAACAAAGAGACAAGCTTGAGCCATCTCACATTTAGTTTAGGTTATCCCCTATCTGCTGACTGTCAGAGTTGCAGGGGCAATGAGGCCAAGAGGGAGTAGCCAGGACACAGAGATGGACACTGGCAGCGTTTTCTCTGGCTTCTCTCCAAAATCAGACATTGATCTTCACTGACGCAAACTGCTGTCCTCTTCGCCCCCCCCCCTATAGTCGCACATAGCCAGATCTGTCTTTACATTAGGCCAACAGAGGACAAATCAAAACAAAGTAACCCAGTATGAGATTTGATTTTTCCCTCGACACCTTCTCCCTTAAAATCTCAAAATACTAAAATAACTTTTGGTTTAATCATACAAAATGTAAGGTGCATAAAGCAAAATGTTTTACCATTAAAAACTTAATATATTAGTGGAACTGTAATTTAATAATATCCACTACATTGCACATTAGAAATTATGGAACATCAGAATACTGAATCCTGTTTATTAACATTATCATTATATTAACATAACCCTCTCGCTTTTTTGACCTCTCCTCCCCACATAATCATGTTCAACCATCCCCTAAGTGAATTGTGGCATACAAGCATACATGTATGTAGAAGAGAGAGTATTTACATGATTTTTTACCCAAGGTCAGTAAAGCTCTCAGACGCAGTACATTAAAGGATCGATATTAAGGATGTGGGATGTGTTTCTTTAAAATGAACTGTGACGGTTTTTACTTGGAATTTCCTCAGTTCATTTTGTATGCTTTATAATAAAAAAAGCCTATTTAAAATAGGTATAATTTCTACAATTCATTCTTTTAAACGCTGTCAATAGTCCTCCCAAATTTCTCACCACTGTAGCAGAAATTATTGGCAACAGTTAAGAAACAGCTTTCCTGTTCCAGGAAACAGTTGAGAAGTTGCACAAAAATGTTTCAAAATATATTTTTCTTGCTTATGAGACAAGGAATTAGAATTTACTACATTGTATTTCCTCTTTTGTAGAACAATCTGAAATTGTAGTTATTATCATCTATCTCATATTGAGGAACCCAAAAAACCCCCTGAAAATGTCATCAGCTTTCTGTCTCTACTTGGCTCTGTCCCTCTCTTGAACACACATACACCGTCTGTGATTGATGAAAATTCCTGTGCCCAGGAGGAAATCTAACAGTGTGACCACCTGCTGGTGAGGGAGAGCAGGGGGGGCAAATCCCTGAGGGGGTAGTCAGTCAGACATTGTGGAGTCATGGTTTCTTAATGTGTGTGCATGAGTGAATGAACAACAGAGAGAGAGAGAGAGAGCCTATATTTGACTTCATAAAAGCTTCCCATTCCACTTGTGTGCTGGCTCAAATCCAAAAGTGATAAACCACAACCCTGTTGTCACCAGGGACATCTCTCCAGACCAGCTCCAGTCCAGCCTGCTATCCCACCCAGCGATCACACAGTCCATTAAATGTGCCAGATACTCTGCTCCTTTCCTATCACCATCCCATTGTTACTGGACAGGAACCGCTCCATCAGATTACAGGATGTTAGGTGCAGAGGAACAGTCTTACTTCCTATTTGCTCAAGGCACACGGATCGGGTGTCAACCCTCTGTCGTCCAAAACAATCACCCTGCTTTCCTCCCTTCATCCCCATGTCTGCACCCAGAGGGGCACTGACCTTATGTCTGTGTGACAGCTAACATCTGGTCAAATAAACGGGGCTAGCCAGGGCGTCTTGTGGACGTCTAAGGATACACAGGACAATGCTGATGCTTAATAAGCTCTGACTTGATGGAATCAGATTGGAATTATTTGATACGTATAGTTATTTTAGTTATTTTGACGAATTTTTGTCTCTTTTTGTTTTCTCAGTCTCCCAAAACCACTCTTTTCTTGTGAAACCATAACTAATCTTACGGGTTGCCAAATAATTATCATGGCTTGCAGTGAAAAAAAGGCTTTGACTGGGAGGAAATTTAACCATTATTTTGTCTTTAAAGCAGAAAATGGAACATCACAGTACAAGTGCAAGTTATGCCTTCCAGCTGTAGAAATGCAGTCTACTGAATGAAGCTGCTTAATGAAAAAAAAGTTTTTCTTTAAAAGTACACAGAAGAGGACATAAATAATGCTGTTTCCATTTTCTTTTCTAAGATAAGATAAGATAAGATAAGATGTTCCTTTATTGATCTCCCTTAGGACAAATTCAAGATTGACACAGCAGCAATAGGGCAAAGTAGTGCAAAAAAGAGTACAAAAAATATCACAAAATAAAATTTTACAAAATATAATAGAAAATATAAGACTATAAATGAAATTAAATATATAAGGTTACATTGTTTTGTTGTCTTTCAGAATACATGTCATCTTTTCTTTTTTGCATATTTGGTGGTTAATCCAAAGTAGTCAAGTTACTTTAATATTGTTACATTTGGATTAGATTACTAACTACATGTTTTAAGCAGCTAATTAGTAATTACATCAGATTATATTTTTAAAGTAACCCTCCCAAACCTGCCTGTTCATATGAAGTCTAAAAGTTGCCAGACATTAAAATCCTTTAATTATACACACAAATATGCACTTTATTCTACTTAAATTACTCACTCATTTTTCTCCAGGTGTAGTTGGAGCTCCCGACCCTCAGCTGAGATCAGAACCAGTGCCTCTGTAGGATGCTGGAAGGAAAAAGAAAATGTTGTTCGTCAGGTAGCAGGAGTTCACTAAATAAATAATAAATAAATAGCTGACAGATATCAAGATCTAAATGTACGTGAGTGTGTTTTTTAATCATTTTATTAGCCTAATGGACAGAGGATGAGGCAGACTGACTCACCTCTTTGTTGGCAGACCTCCTGTGTCTGTGAGGATGCAGCCATGTGGGATAAGTAATCTCATAACTCTGTACGTGCTCAAGGATGCTCCTCAGTGAACCCTGCTTGTTTTCTCCTAATGGAAAACAGAGAAGTCAGACAGAAGGTTTTTTAACAATCACATGCAAGGAATGTGCCTTGGCATTGTGGTGCATACGGAAACCAATAAACATAGTAGAAAAGAAATAAGAAACTGCACAACAGTTGGATTTGTTGTGTGCATCGGATGACTCACTTTAGACAAAAATAAAAAAATAAAATAAATAAAACTGAGATTATGCATGCCCAGCAGTGACGTGAGGTTTGCATTTTAAAACTAAAAGATACATCCCAATGCAATGCAACAGAGACCTAGTTATTTAAAAGGCATGTAAAAAATCCAATTTTAGCTCAGAGAAACAATCGGGGACTCACCATTGTAAACACCGCCTGCAGGCACAGCAGCCTGAACACAGTGGAGGAAAACTAAGAGACACAGACACAGAGAGGACTGCACAGCGTCGAGAGGAGGAGGACGCGCTCCTGGACGCATTCTAACAACAGACGGCTCCAAATGAATTTGTTGAACTGAGACATAAATGTGCAGTGGACCAGGTCTGGGTGTTTCACATTAGATGGAGAAACCGAGAGGGAGGTTGGGCGAGTCAGAGAGGCATCGCGATAGACCGCCGCCGCCGCCGCTGCTGCTGCTCGTCTGAGATGCTTGCAGACCGTGGGGCGTTCATTCTCACCCCTCACCCCCCCCCCGCCTTTATTCCACACCCATGGAGAGGGACTATGTCGCTGTCGAGGTGAGGAAAGAAGCCAAGATATGATGGAAAGATGTACCAGTGAGCAACAAGACACTGACATTTCTTACATTTGTTGAAGGAAAAACACGCATATAAAGTAGTATGTTTTATTCCTAATTTACAATGTTGATAAAAAATAATTATTATAATAGTTCAATTATCGATATGCTACAATGAAGCAGTTTCATCTAGTTTAAGGGGGATTTTTTCCCCCAGCATTTCTTCTTAAAGAGGTACTCCAACAATTTAGTGTCAAAAAAAGTTTGGACTCACAGGAGACAGATTTTTTAAAAAGAATGGTCACAATTGAAGCAGTAGAGACTAAGATATATTTACTTTTAGTCATTGTATTCTGCTTTAAGCTCCAAAAAATGCTGGATCCTACATTTCCCATCATGCAACAATATATTTGCATCTCTGCCTGGTTAGTGCCTACATCTTACAACCTCCACATCTGCAGTTTGTTACACAAGCTTCCTGTTATAAATTTGTAGTTTCCAATTTGTAATCCAAGCCAGATAACTACATGATGACATCACTGTGTCATCATGACGGTTATTTTCTCCGCCTGAGCTGTACTCCTCATGACTGTTAAATAAATTTACTGTTGTATAATGCTTCACTCGACAAAATTATTCTGACATGTTTATCCCAACCACTAGCCTTGTAGTCACACTATTTAAATTGCTTTAATTAGCTACAGGAGCAGTTTCTTAACAACAAAAATAACAGATAAAAAACATGTTTTTCTTCTTTAAGTTATTCTATTGTATTGGTGTACAATGGATATTATGTAGCTCTAACTGGCAACGATGGTGACTTAACAGCCATGTTGGCACCAGTTTGTTGACACTTCTGTGGTTCTTTTCAACAAATGTAGTCAGAGATTCATGCCAACCCACAAATCTTTTATCCCCACTCGGCTGCTTGTAAATGCAGTCTGAAAGATGTGATGTGAATGCAGCTTATGTGTGAGTGTCTATGTAACCAATGAGAATTGAGAACAAGAAATATTTTCAAGAGAGTATAATTATATTACGGTTGTGTAGACTATTTCCTCTGTTTATTCCAACCAGTAACCCAACAGGCTTAAGTTTAGGCCTTGAATGTAAACACTTGCAGCCTTTAAATAACTGCACCACTTGCCTCAACATGCTCTAGTTTTTATACACGGGCCATATGTTGAGTCACTGTATGTAGCGAGTTTGGCAAGGGTCAAGGTAAACTGATCCATGCACACAATTTATGTCATTAGGAAAAGATAAACCTCCACGATCAAGATGTGTTTTGTACATCTTGCTTAATTAAAGGGCAGAGTGTAATTGATCATAGAGATCTTATTAAAAAAAACAAAACAAGGAAAGAATTTGATCCCAAATGTGAATAGAGGAGCTGAATCCTGGTTACATAAAGTACAGTACAGAAGCTACATGCTTTTAACAAGGTCACAACACCAAAAATACTGCTCCAATACCTGACAGTAACCGAGCCTAGTACAGTAACAAAATATAGTAGGCTGCTACCACGTCAAGCTTCCAGCAGCCATTCATACTGCGCCGGTCATTTATAAGTGTGATGATAAATATGCCACAGAGCACATGTCAGGAGGATAGAGTGTACGCAGGGTGTGTGAGGTATTCTTAGCCCTGATGACAGTGCAGGCCACCGAATCCATTCACATCTCTAAATGGTGTCCTGGCTGCAAAACAAGGCCACTCGTTGCTGCCAAGGTATTGGTTTCTGCTTTACTCCGCTTATTCCTACCCCCCAGATACGCTCTTTATTACTATAAACTGCGAGTGATATCGAACACTTTGCAGATCCTGAATCATTAAAATTCAAACATTTGGAACTCAGCTCCCTGAAAAAGAGAATAGTTAGGATTCAAATCACACATGAAAACCCTGCAGCGAAAAAAAAAAAAAAAAAGAAGCAGTGGGCCAAGAGATGTTTAACATGCTGAAAGATTTAGTCACAGTAGTATTATAAATGCCATTCATGACATCAAATGAGGGTGTATTATATATAACCTTAGAAAAGGTTAGAGAGGAATGACCAGATGTCTATGAGACAGTATAAACTATCAAACTGCTGTGCATGTCCTCAACAGCACTGGTGAAAGATTATGAAATCATCTGCTTCCGTTTGAACACAACAGGCATTATCATGCAATTTAAGCTGAAAACATCCTACTTTAAGGGAACATTATGACAGAAGTTTAACACGTGAAAGTAAGAATATGTATTCTGGCTGTAATCGCACAAAGTCAACCATCAAAGGCTTTGGTCTCAGAACAATTCAAGGGATTCAAGGGTACTAAGCTTCATGGTGGCATGTTTGACACATAGTCCTTTATCCCTTAAAAGTCAAATTCAACCTGTCCACTTCTTGTATGGGTCCTCTTCAACCTTTCTGGCTGGACTCTGGAGTTCAGTATTCTTCTCCTACAGCAGCTCAGAAGCTGTTAGCAGTTGTCATCCTCCAGGATGTCTGGGTGTTCCTCCCAGAACTGGTCTCCTATAATGTCACAGTGGTGGGCCTGCACCCTCCTCCTGGTGCGGGTCACAGGCACGTCCTTCTCCTCTTCATTTGGTAGCTTTGTGCGTTTAGTGACAGTTTCATCTCGCTGGAGAAAAAGAAAGAGGAATATTATTGGTAAAATTAACATAAAAGGAATAGATCAACAAATGATGATTTTGAAATTTGGGAAATACCAAACTAGTATTTAACTAGGGACCTGTTATAAAGTCTACCTGTTGATGCATTCAGAACACTCTCTGATCTGAGATTTCCACTTCCCAAAACATCAACAGTAAATGTCAAGTTTTGGTTCCAGCCAAATCTGAGAACCAAAGCCTAGTATACAAAACAGTTTCTAGGCACAACATTTTCTGCTGATATTTGTCAAGAATAAAGGAAGAAACCCATTGCAAAGCACAGAAGCTGAGGCAGAAGATATGCAGGGAACGTGTCAGATATCACTAGTAAAGTAGAAGAGACAGTTGAGGTGGAAGTGGGAGCAGTAAAGGATTTAAGAACACAAAAATATCTAACAGAGTTGGAGTTATCCAAGTGAATTTCTCTGTAATAACTGTGCAGACTCAAACCCTTTGTAGTAGCTCACCTTTTCCCAGATGAGAGTGGTGCCTTTCTTATGGAGGGCAGATTCATTGTTGTAGTTGATATCAAACTCAGAGAACAGGATCTCATTTTTGTCCGCAGCTAATGTTCCCTGGAGGGAGACACAACATAGTTAGAGATATGGATGTAAGTAAAACCACTAAAATGACCACACCACCCACTGGTTCTTTCAGTGTTTTGTTGTTTGAATTATGAAGTCCACTGATGCTATGACATATAAGGAAGATGCGTTTGATCTGTTTTTCCAAAGAAATGTTTTTAAAGTGATCAAGGAACTAGGAAGTACAACAGTTTGATGTTTGATGGGCTGTGAATGACTCATGTTCCCCAAACATCCAGCCAGAATGAACATTTCCACAACTCATCAGCTGTCATCACCTCATCAGAGTTTCCCCCACAGCCCACTGGACAATGAAGCGACTTCCAGAGAACAGCTGTGTCGGTCAGTGGCAGCTGGCACAAATAGACACCTGATGTTCTGTAGAGAGATGTTACCTCTTCTGTTTAATTTGACATATTATTTCTCAGTACATCTTTTTTTAGCTATAGACACTATTAGAGCCTGACAGGGATTTTTGAGATCAGTTACCAATATGGCAGCTGATATAGTGAATGATTGAGCTGGAATGAAAATAGACTTTTTCTATGTTGACTGTGCACCAATTTAATAAGACTATGCAAAAGTACCCAGAAGGCTGCATTCTTAAACAAATAACTTTATTAGAGAATATTTAACTAATATTCTTTAACATGTTAAATAATTTAACATATACATTGTCAACCAGTTCTAGCTGACATTGCCGAGAGCTGCTTCTCCTCTCTTACTGGCACTGCTGGCCACAGTCTGCGCTCTGCTGGATAAACTTTGCAGTGATACCAATATATTACCACAAGCAGGTTTTCATATTTGCACGTATCGAGTAACATATACACTGATACCAATATGTCTGCAATGGGTCAATATGAGATGATTATATTTACTGGAATCTAGAGATCATATTTTGACCATCACACCCATAGGTGAGAGGGAGAAGTTATTATTTGTGGTGTTGTCTTCATAGGTATTTAATCAAAGTTTACAGAAGTATCACAAACACAAAATAATTCATACATTTGGATCCTGGATTTAAAAAAAAAAACTGCTATTAACTCTAATTTTCATGGGCAATTAATCTAATGATTATATTTTCCATTAATCAATATAATCGACTACAAAACCTTATCAGACCCCGATGTCTCAATTGATTTGTTTGTATTGCCAGCAGTCAAAAACCCCAAAGAATTCAGTTTGTAACACAAACTGAACAGCTTACAAATATTTTATCTATTTATTTAATAAATGCCTTAAACCATTGATTGTGTTACCACCAGTAATCAATACAGAAAATGAATCAGTATCAGAAAACGGTTGGTGTCCATCACAAGGTAATGGAAAATGAAAATGCAGAAGTTGTATTTTATCTACAGCAAGACTGAAACATTCAATAAGATGTGACAGTTTTCCATCTTTTACGAGGAGAATTTCTCACAATTTAAGTAAAAGTTAGAGTTGGGAAGTTTCATTTTTGTTAAGTCTTGACCCCCTTGATGTGTGACTCTGGTATCTAACTTGGTAACTGTGTTATGTTGGATATGATAAGATAGGATGTACCTTAGCTTATCTTAGCCTTAACATGAGTAATATACATATAACATAGTAATAATAAATCTGTTCAGGTTTTAAAACCCCTTAACGATTGTTTTTTTTCGATTGTTTATCATCTTTTGAAGATTTTCTCATGTTATTCAAATGGTATAACAATAAAAACGAGTGTATTTGCATAAACACACGCATCTATGCATGTAAACTGGTATTGGTTAAGTTAAAATTATGTTTTGCGCTCACCTTTAAGCGTTCATCTGCCTGGGTTGTAGTGAGTCCTCCCCTTTGTACTAATGTCCAAAACACTGTGTTGTGCAAATTATTAACGTGGCCTGAAAGACACAAAGACACAAAGAAAGTCTGACATCATTTACACTCGTCAGTTTGTCTAAAAGCCAAATGTGTTAGAGCACCGTATCTACTTACAGTCCGCTTGCCTCCAGTTGAGATAGTCTCTGAGGTTGCGGTTGCTAGGATACAGGACCACACGTCCATCAAAGCTTGGGGGGTACAAGAGGGACTGTTCCCCGAAAAACTCCTTCCAGTAAAACACATATGAGGAGGAGAACTGGGAGGTCACGTGGGTCATGAGCTTGCTGCCAGAAGAGAGAGAGGGAGAAAGAAAGTCAGATAAACCTCAACCACAGGTGAAGAGCATGTGTGAGGAGTGACTCTGTACCTGGCTCTCCTCTTAAACAAGGTGGTGGTCCTCTTGAAAACAAAGCTGAACTCATCACTTTGACCATAAGCGATGACAATATCCTCAAGTTCTCCCATGACAGAGCGTGCACACTGGGTCATCAGGCCCAACGCTCTGTTATCATTGGGCTTTGTGAACTTGTGCTGCTCTGCAAACCTGAAACAAAATGCAAATGTCTAATAACGCATGAACCCAGAGACTGGCAACATTACCAGTGCCTTCAGAGAGATGACAGGCGTGTAGCTTTCAAAAAGGGGAAACTCACTTGTGGAAGTTGCGTCCATCCAGTCTCACTACAATGTAGCAGTTTCGGAGACATGTGTCATCTGTTTCAAAGTTTCGGACATACTCAAACTTGCTCTTCGCCATGTTGCTGGAAGTAGTGAAAGAACAGGCCGAGGGGTTGACAAAAAAAGACCTGAGACGTCCACCAAATGTGCAGAACTTCATCAGCATCAGGGTGCTCCTGAAAAGAAAATTCAACACGCAAATACTTAAAAAAAAAACAACAACAACACACATTCCCAGGAAATATTTTCAGGCAAAACAGCAGCACGATTATTTTATTTTTCTTATAGATCCACGAGTTGGATGTCCTTTTGCCGGAGCTCATTAGGGAATAATTAGTGTTACATGTCCGTCCATCTTTAACTAACAATAGTTATTACTTACAATTGAATGTCCTGTGTGGTTTGTCCTCTGCGGCCACAATAACAACGAGCTCGGTGCTTCTTAAAAGCCTGTTTGAGCTTGAGCGATGATATGTGTCTATTTCGCTACTTACATACTATTTTCAAAAGAGTTTGAAAGGTCTGAAAGCTGTGTTATCAATTTATATTTACGTTTATTAAAAGACAGTTGTCAGCTCACACATGTTGGTTTGTGTACAGTCCGTCGACGAATGGTGTCCTGGTGTTACCGCGGAGCTGTACGAACATTGGTTCCGGAGCACACGTCCGAAATTAACAAACAATTCACCAAAAAAACAAAACAACTCATTGTTTTCAGTTGTTTATCCGCCCTCTTTAAAACACCCATAACAATATATCATCGTATTCGCGTGCTGTTGAAAGGAATAATCTTTCTACCAAACATAATCAAAGTGTTTCAGCGCCATCTTGTGATAAAAGGAGAGACTGCAACCAAAGATCGTGTATGAGTAAGATGTTACGTAAATAGGGAGCTTGTAGTTTAGTTATAGGCTCGGCTCTTTTCTGGGGGATTGAGTTGAGTTTTTAAGGATGAATAACACATAAGCGGGGTCGTTATTATCCTATTATTCCACCGGAAACCGCACAAAAACAACACTTCCAGGTTTGAAATGCCTCCACCTGTTTAGGGTCCCTTAAAAAAAAAAAGACGGAGTGAAACCTCCAACTTGACAATAACTTTTCCCAGGATCCCCCGCGTCACCGTGTGCACATCTGCGGTTGTTTCAAACATGGAGGAAAGAGAAAGAAAAAGTCTAAACCCCGATAATAAAGACACGACGGCCGCTGGTTGTTCGAGTGCGCCGTCGGTACCGGAGCGTGAACCGGAGGCACGCAGTAAAACCGGGGTCGTTGACGCAGATAAAACCGACGTCTGCTCGGATAACTTCGACCCTCTCTTGGCCTTGTACTCGCCGGCTGTGACGCTGCCTTTCCCAAACGTCAAGTGCTTCAACAATGTGTCCGCGTACGAGAGCTTTCTGAAGGGCGGCCGGGGCAGAGCCAAACCGGAGAATGTGGAGAAGAAGCGGCTGAAGGCGATGAAAGGGGTGGCGGACCCGGAGCGCATCGAAAGGCTGAAGAAGCTGATGGTGAACAACCCGGTGTCGGGGACGGAGGAGGGGGAGAGCAGCGGCACACCGCAGAGGAGGGAGAGGGGGAGACACAAGCCCCAGAAAAATGTCCTGACAAGGATGCCCTGTAGGTTCAATACCCACCGCTGCTGCTTACCTGCACAGTTGCATCCACTACTATTAGTATATGAACTAGTGTTGTCATTTGGAACTGCAACTAGCTACTGCACATAAGTTGTACAGTACCTCTCACACATTAGTATAAATAAATATATATATATATATATAGTTATAATGAAACAGTAAAAACACATGAACAAGATAAAATAATTTAAGTAGTTACAGCAGGAAGAGTTTGCCTGGGATCACCAGTTCCACAACTGAGTGAGCCTGGACACGTAATAAGTTAAAATAATGTAATATTTTTCATTTCAGACTTATACCTGGTGTCCTTTCTAACCTTTTTAATTATTTTATTGGATGACATACTATTGCTTTTTTAAATAGGAAACAAAACCTTTTAAATCACCTGTTGATTGTTGTTTTTTCTGCTCAATTGGTGCTTTTAATCTTATATTTAAGCAATATATTTTTACTTGCAAATGTCTTTAGATATGACCCCATGACCATTTATTTGAAGTGCATGTGTTTTTGCAGCCAGCAGCCCAGAACTCAAAAATATTCCATTTACAATGCTATGAAACTGAGAAAAAATGTAAATCCTAATTTTCTGTAACTTGACTAATCATCTCAGCCCTCTCATAACGCCGTATCCACCATAAAACACACACCTACCCAGATAATAACCGGTTAGAGAAAGGACTCATTCGCCCCACTTGAAGCAAAATCTAGTGATCAGTGTGGCTAAAACTTTAGTAGCTTTCCTGTCTGTATTGCTGCTGGATGAATGAACACTGTCCTTCCAGAATATATTCTCTAATTTGGTGTTTTAAAATTAGTGTTTGAAAACATTATTGAACATTTCGGCCCAAAATTTTCCATTTTTGTTCAGCCGGGTTGAATTTTGGGAATTGAAAAGGCCACAGCTTCGAATCATTTTCATACTCAACCCTTTCAATAACTTGGGCCCTGTAAGAAGGCCTGTGAATCCTTTGCGTTCCTCCACTTCTTTTGTGCATCATCCAGTTGAAAAGTTACCTTTATGACTTTATAGTTTCTACATTTAAGATATATTAGTGGCTTTTGCATGTTAAGCCTTTTTTGGCAGACATCTTTGTGTGCTTCGGTTGAATTCCTTGCATTATTTATTGGCTGTAGAGACAGTTCTATAACCTGTTTGTCATGTGTCTTCAGTATGTAAAGGCAGTCCATTGGGGGAGCTGTACCGGTGCGTTGAGGAGAGGATAAGGGTCAAAGTTCACATCAGGACCTTCAAGGGGCTGAGGGGTGTGTGCACTGGCTTTGTTGTGGCCTTCGACAAGTTCTGGAACATGGTGAGCTCCCCCACTCATGTTTTCTCACACGGCAGCTGCCATATGCTGAATTTGAAATAATCCATAACATACATTTGATATCTTTATTCTGGCATTTCACCAGTCCTTTTTTTATTTCTCTTTGTCAGGCAATGGTAGATGTGGATGAGACATACAGAGAGCCTCTGCTTGGAGAGGCATTCTATCATGAGAAAGCCCTCACCATCTCAAGGGTAGGCCCTAGTTTTTATTATATATCTAACTGTAATATATTGTATACTCTGTAATAGCTAGATTTGGTGGTATATGTTCCCTTGCTGAGGAATTGGTAGAGTGCAACCTGTTTCGTGACTCCCTGAAACTGATCTGCTGTCAAATAAAAGCCCTAAATTACTATTGTCTTGTTTTGTAGATGCCGTCGATAAACGATCGCTGTCTGTGCTAACCTAAAAAATAATACAGTGCACTGTCTGTGACTTCTTTACAATAAAAGCTGGACTGTGCTTTCCCAGTTACACAATTTTAATATGAACTAGCAGCAGTAGAAAATGTTGTGTTTGCAGTAACTAAATACAGCTCTGATGGTGTGTTAGAGTGAACAATAATGCTGGATGATTACATCCATGCATTGTTTCTGTAAATCCCTCCTGTGAAGGTAATTTGGATTTTGCACGGCATCGCCTGTAATAATAAATATTATATATAAAGGTAACTAGAATAAAAATCTGTTGAATGTCTATAGCTGAAAAATAACAACCATAAAAAGTATCAAACATGGGGTTTGATTTCATGAAAGCTCTAAGTTTAATCCACAAATATGAATGTGACTGAACTCTCTGTACAGCTCTTTGAGAAGCTAAATCTCCAGGAGAGCTCAGAAGGTGACGAGCCTCCGAAGAAGCACGAAGCCCAGGAAACAGCCAGCAAGCATCAGGCCGCTCACTGTACTGGCAAAGGAGGGCACAGCAGGACAGAGTCCAAGCTGTCAGACACTGTTAGACCCAAACAGGATAAACACAAAGTCTCACTGAAGGCCCAGGGTCCAGAGGTCTGTCAGAAGAAAGACTCCCAGATGTATGGCAAGGTCCATACACGCCACATCAACCAGCTTTTCATCCGGGGGGAGAACGTCATCCTGGTAAACCCACAGCCACTCTGATATTTGTTTTCTGTTTGATACTTACCCTGGATAACAGAACAAATGTGCTACAACCGCAATCTGTAAAATCTAAGTGTTATTTGATGCTGAACATGTTATATCATATTGATATGGAGGTTTTCTCTGCCCACCAGAGGAATTATCTTGATTTTGAGGAATAAAAGCTTCTCATTTCTTACTATAGTAATTGTTTTTCTTTTAAATGAAATGTATTTTCACACTGCATTAACAACTGTGATTGTGTTTTGGTTATTGGGCAAGCATCAGCCAGCAGGTGGCAGCATAAACACATTAGTGCCATCTGTGGGGCTATTGTCATCTCAAAGAGCTTGTCCCTTTATGTTGCTTTTCCCGTTAGTTTGAACAGGAATGACAGCGCAGTCTCAGCGGACTTCATAAATGCATTATGAATAATTGAGTTTGTGAAGCTAGAGATTGCAGATGGCACTCAAAAGCTGTCATTTGTCTTGACGTCTCAGATTGCTTTTACTCTTTAATGGGCACATTACCCATAAAAGCACAATTTACTGCATCTCGTGGAAGTTGTAAAGATGCGAGTGGCCCAGAATGATTGTATGTTGCTGTAATGTTTCCGAGTCAGAGTTTTAGCTTATTTTATTAGTTTTTTTCTTAATTTGACTGCAGTTTATTTGACCCTCTTTCTATATATTTTTATGCCATAAAAATAGGACAAATTCCAGCAGTAGCTGAGCTGTTGTTCATCTATATGCTGTTCATATAATGTATCAGAATATTATTAGTGTAGCCCATTTATTTCCTCTCCAGAGAGGGAAAATGGGGTCAATTGTTTAATGCAAGCTGTGTTTTAGTGGTGTTTGTTACACCAGTGTGTTCCAACAAACCTTGATATAATATGAGAAGGGCACAGCACTAGTGGTGAAGAGATGGGCCACAATTAGACTACACAATCTTTCTCTTGAGTGTATTTTACCAGAGAAAATCAGGCCATCCATCTCACTAGGACAAAGTTTAATTTCATCAGCTGAAATAATATTGAAGCATTAAGGACACAAAGTAGCAACCCGTCTTTAAATAAACGAATAGCTTTGTTACGACTAATACGTGCATGAAAGCTCAAATCAACAAAGGGCTGATCTTCCTCAACATCTGTTGCGTTCAACCACTGCGGCTGTCACAATAAGAATCAGATATTTCCTTTGTCCAGTTAACTTGTTCGCTGTTACTCTGTACTCTTCCCATATCTCAATGTGATCTAACTTGTGGTCTTGTGTGGTACATGCACAGTGATTCATTTGGCAGTGGCAACTTCCAGATCTGGTGTTAATACACTTACCAGCTGATTTTTAGACTTTTATATTCCATACATTTGTTCTCTTGGCTTTCTGCCTTATTAATATAATTTGTACATGTGCATATTTATTAAGGATCTTCCTTTATTACCTCAAACAATGACATTAACAAGCTTGCATCAACTAAATGTAATTTCAAAGTCAAGCGCAGTGGCTTCACTTGTGCTGCTTGAAGCTCTTTTGAATGAGGCTAATGACACAACACACCAAATAACACACACCATTAACAAATTTCAATCAACTGTTTAATGTTGTAGATAAAGAATCTTGATGTGTAAATCAAATCAAAATGGGAAGAATGCAAAATTTCATTTTCTCAAAGGATTTTTTTTTTTTTTTTACATTTGCATATGCTAGTGTTTCAGTAACAATCCCATTTTAGAGAAGATCAAAACAATTTGAAGTAAAAAAAAAAAAATGCATAAAACAACCTCTACTGATATATTTTAGAAAAACAGCAAACTGATTTTGGTCATTTTAATGCTTCTGACTCCAATGCAAGGCTACTACATGTTAGTTTGCTCAGCCTCGAGCCCTTGGGAAAGAAGGAAAGCACAACTTCTAATCCTCCTGGGGCTGCAGAATCCACTGCCTTCTTCTCTGGTCAGTGAATTATTTATCTACTCCTTGACAAACCAGAAATGTCAGGCAGCCAAGATTTATTTATCAATTACTCATTACAAGGGTCAGGAGGCAACCATCGGCAGGCACTTGAACCACTGAAGAGCAATGTTTTGTACATTTAATAGGCCAGTTAGCTGAATGGGATTGTTCATTATGCGCCATCGCACAGCACATCTTCATTCAACCACCGTGACGTACTGGGTATGTACCAACTGGTAAAAGTGCTTCCCCTCATACGATCTTCCTGATAAGTTGCAAAAACCTGCAGACTTGGATTGATTACAGCTTTGACAGCAACACTCCTTCCAAGACTGCTGTTTGTAATGTGTAACATTAATAAAGATGTAAGATGAGAAGGCAGCACTTAACCAAGATGCACTTGTGAACAGAGAACAGATAGATGAATGGTGCAGTCTTAATAACAGTCAGTATAAACACTTGAGGTGTTGAATTAAGATGAGCTCAATATATTTATATCTTGTTTTTTGAGCCCTGGAGTTACCACTGACGTGAACAGAGCGGAAATAAAACTGAATTAGACAAACAAAACACAATGAGAGAAATAATTATACAATTGCATCTGATATCCGTAAAGACAGCACGCTTGGCTTGAGGCACAAGTACAAACGCATTTGTACATAGTACAGAAGCTCCTTTCTGGTAGCTGTCCTCAACACTGCAACAGTCACATTGTCTTTCAAAGAGGTTAACTGAGGAGAAAAGGCAAGGCAAAGGTCTTTCAGGCACTCTGTGCTGTAATTAAGAACCCACAACCCCTGTATGAGGCTTATTCTACCTACTGATTATCTCATTTGGATGCAAACTGATTATAATCTTCTTCATAAGTAAAATATATAGATATGTATATACCAATAAGAAAGGCCACAAATGATGGTCTGTTGAAGGAGAAACTCCTCAAATGAATCAATAGTATTCACTCCAAACACTCATTACTTGAGCTGTAGCACTGACGGGCCACATTTGGAGTGTGTGGACGCTTATGTACAAAGAGAAGGTGTCAATGTGCTTTCTTATAGGTCTTAATTCATATCAGATTTGGTCTGTATGATAGAAGTCTTCACACTGTCACTTCCTCTCATAGGAACTTCATAACTTATTTGTAAGGGCTCCAGATTTATATTTACAGGTCAAAAGGAAGCGCAAGGACAAAACAAGAGGTAACTTGACATTCTTAAATGTACATTAGAAAGTTAAAATGGCTGATCATGTTATTCAAACTCATTCAGTAAAGTTACTGAGAATGCATCTCAAAAAATTATGCAGCTACTGATATATGTTTTTTTTGCTATTCTGGTGATTTAACTTGATTGAGGTTATAAAGCAAATCCCCCCCCCACGACATTCTCTTGGTGGCACTCTTCCCTCCTCTCACTGACTTATGAGTAACTGACAAGGCACGCTGTCATCCGTGACCATCACCCCAGACTAGACAGATCATTGGTTCAAACACAACACAAACACACATTCATTTAGATCCATATCACTACACAGCATTATTTAAAATAAAAATAAAAAAAAATCAAGGAGATTGCGGGGTGTTGGTATTGTGATAGTTGACATTATTCAAGTACTCTTTGTTTGCAGCTCATAACAATCCTTCACCAATGGACGGAGAGAGAGAGAGAGAGACAGAGATAGAGAGAGAGCGAGACAGAAGCAGAGAGAGAGCGAGAGAGAGAGAGTGGGAGAGAGACCCCGACACCACTCTACCGGATGCTCTCCAGCTCCATCACTTTCCAAAGTTGCCAAAGTCAGCGAAGGCATCGTGTTTGGGCTGTTGGACCATTGCAGGGTTCATCCCCATTCCCATAGCACCAGGCATCCCCATGTTCATGCCCATCCCCATCATACCCTGGTTGTGGGCTGGGGTCATCCCCATGCCCATGCCCATGCCCATTCCCATGCCCATTCCCATTCCCATGCCAGCACCAGGGTGCATCATAGGATTTACAGGAGGCCTGACTGTTGTAGATCCAAGGCTCATAGCGGAAAATCCCTGGGAGAGCATGTTGGCAGGTACCTGGTTGCCTGGAAATGACAGAACAAACTCAATGAATAAAAGTGCCCAATTTTAAATCACAGTTGATTGGCGGGGTCGCTTTGAAGTCGAGCCTGGCTACAGTGTCACCACTTATGCCAGCTCTACCATTCCTTTCACCTTGTTGGAGGGTGTTGAGGGTGGGCTGGCTAGGCTTGGGTGGCTGCATGCCTGGTCCGAGGAAATCTAGGCTGATGTTAACCGTCTGGTCTGCCCAGGTGGAAGGGAGGGATGCTTTGGCTCCAGCACCTTGAGAGGCCATTCCCTGCTGCAAAGGCTGGAGAGGCATGACCGACTGCGGTTGGAGTGGACCACCTATGTTCTGGAGGGGCTGGCGAAGACAAGGACAGGTACAATGTTAGAGAAAGAGCTAATTTATGTTAAAAATCAAAGAAAAATATAAGATGTTACCCAAGCCCTGAGATACATGATGAAAGGATACAGTTCTTCCTCATAATTCAAGGTCTTAAACCTTTAGCCTGACCCACTTAATCTCAATACTGAGATACAGAGGAATCTGCTACTGTCTCTTTCTGAACTCATTAAAACATACCATCTAAAGTTACTAGAGTAAAACAGAGTAGTGGGTGTCTTCTCAGCAAAACAAGGACTGAGCTTTTTTTTTTAAGTAGGTCAACCACCTTTTAACATGGAAATACAGTCGACATCCACAAGCTTTTCAATGTTTTTGTAACTCAGAACTGATTCTTCTCATTCAATGTGTCAGTAACAGGAGGAGTGGGTGGTTAGTAGGCGGTCTCTGGGGGAGATGAGCATCTGGTGAGGCTGCATGTTAACCCTCTACCATGATGCTTGTCCTCCATTTTTTAATCACACAAGGTATGTCTTTATCACTGTATGCCTGTACAGACGATGATGTGGTCAACAAGCAGTGTAAACCGGATGTAAATCTTTTTAAAAAGTTTTGTTCTGGAACACTACTTTCATCATTTGACATTTATTTATTTCTCACTTCATACATAGGCATACAATGATTAAAAGGTGACGATGGCCAAAGCCAAATCGACAAGCCTGTGGTTTGATGATTACGCTAGTTCTAAAAAAAAACTCTGGCTGAATCTTAAACTGTCCTTGTAACAGCTGACAAACAGTATTTGAAATTGATGACAAAATATTTGTATCTTGGGCTAATACTGATGTTTGGTTGGAAATATATTCAAAGCAGGATACAGTGTGTACAGGGCCATATTCATGTATTTAAAGCATGTAACCATAACGCTTTTTAAATGTAATAAATCATTTTATCTGGTAGATTTTCCATTGTTGGAGGCACTCTTTATACTCTGCCATTTAGTTTACGGACTGGCTTGTTCTGGATCTTTGGGTCACTGTTTTCCTGGTTAAAAAGGTGTGAAGAAAAGAAGTACATTAAGAACAAATCCAGTGCTGGAAGCAAAGCATTTCACACATACGTTTCTATTGTCACATGTTGGAATTAAGCATAAGCCTAGCAGTATGTCATTTTCCAGGTTTTGCAGTGGCTGACTGAAATTAATAGCAGGCCTCCACAGAACCCCTTCGGCTGTAAAGTTTTGACCCAAGGGAAGCCTTTCAGCTTCAATATTTCTTTATATAAATGCACAGGTTTTTAGCAGGAGATCTCTCAAATACAGCAGACAACTGGTATTTTTGTGTATAGTTATTTCTCTGAGGAGATTTTGCTTGCCTGTATCATTTAACCCCCCTTCGTGAGTCTTGTAATGATATGAATCTCAATAAATTATTAATAAAGGATGCATGTGTGTATCAGTGCAATCATGCATACCTGTGACCTAGACTGGGGCATGACTGTGGCGCTCATACTCTGTGTGCTGCTCATGCTAAAATTGAGGCTCTGGGAGGATGTGAGGGACTGAGTTGGTGCCATCAAGTCAAACAGGTCTGCTGAGGCAGGACCAGAGCCTGGAGCTGAGACTGGGGCGGGGGCTGGGGCAGTGGTAGGACCTGCTGCCATGGCTCCAAAAAGGTCATTTCCGCTGTTGTCAACAGTCTGAGCAGATGCAGGCATCTGACCTCCAGGGAAGGCATTCCAGTCTCCAAATTCTCCATTGCTGCTAGAGGCTGGTGCTGCTGCAACAAGAAAGAGAAAAAACAGCAGTTGCAACATTGTTTATATTTGCCATCTAAACAGTGATGTTTGTATTGTGAACTGTGTAAATAATTGCAACACGTTGCAAACAAAGCTCACAGAAGCAAATTTTAACCTGTCATAGCAATTAGGAATAAACAGTTGAGTCTTCAGGCCAGTCAAGCTTTATCCGGGCCATTCTTAGTGACCACTGGTGCCACGTTTTAAATTTTCATTGAACTGGCCCTGCTTGTTGTCTCTATCCCTCCACTCAATCTCTCTCCCCACCAAATTCATCCTCTGTCCCTGTCTCCTTGTCATCCATAACAGGAGTTGATGTGTGTCTGTTCTTGTTATGCAGAGCAGGTAGCAGGCTCCATATGGCCAGGGCTTCCTCCCAGCATCCCTCTGAATATTCTAGCAGTATGGCTGCAACAGCAGCACACACATGCACACTCTAACAAAAAAATGTTTTTTAAAGTCTTCAAACCTACCAGATCCTGAAGAGAGGACGGCAGAGGCAGCAGGCGAGGAGAAGTCGGCAAATGCACTGATGAGGTCTGCATTGAGAAATCAACATAAACACATCAATTTTAAACAAGCAAGCTCCAGGTGTCATTCTACCATAGTTAGCATTCCTTCAGTGTCAGAAGTGTAGGAGGGAGGGGAGGGGAGGTGGTGGTAGATAGGTGGAGAAGAGCAAACATCTGTTCAGCGCTCCCACCCTCTCCATTCACTAGGGACTGCTCCAAAAACATCTGGTGCACTTAGTTCCTATACATCAACTCCCTCCCCCTGCTGTCCCCAAAATCTTAAGCTAGCATCAGCAGCTGGGCACTGTCACTGCTGAGTCTAGTCCTGCAGTCACTGTGGAGTTTCCTGTTTTGTATAAGGTTGTATTGTTAAGAATATACAACGTGCAAATAAAACATATTTGGTGGTACTGGAAGACATATTGTTCCTTTTGGGAATTGGTTCCCTATGATAGGCTATGCTGCACGTCTTTGATCAATTACTATGCATAAACCACAGAAATACAACGGATACCAATCCTCTCAGATAGCTGCTGGTAAGCAAACAAGCGTATTTCACAAAATGTCTGGGTATTACTTTAAGTTCTGTGACAATATACCTGTGGGAGCAGGCTGGCTCGGTGTTGTGTCTACCATTAGTAGGTCAGCTAGGCCGGTACTGGAGGGCTGAGGGGCTGCTGGCTGGGGCTGGAATAAAGAACAACAAAAAGATCAGTACACTGTGCACATATAACTACACGCATATAACTGAAGTCTTATCTCAAATGCTCACTCTTGCTACCTGTTTGTTGGTGGGGTCTGGGCTCTTGTCTCCTGTGTAGAGCGCCGCAGCCCCCAAGTCTACTTTCCTGGAAGGGACTCCTCTCTTTCGTGTTGCTGTTGTCTCTGTTGCTTGGACTATGTGTACACTCTTGGTGGTAACAGTCTCCTCTTCATCTTTAAACTCTTTTCCTGTCTGGCCATTGTGAGACGAGCGTCCCCGGTCCTCCTCGTTGTCACTATGGAGGCAATAATGGGTCCGGTGAGGACAGGATTTTCTTTGTACATATATATATATATATATATATATTAACAAAAAGAACCAAGATCCAAACTCTGTTGGGCTATTTAATTTACAGGTATATTCACAATATAAATAAAATGTTTGTAGATTTAAAAAAGCATTTTGAGTTTTGCTAATGTGATAATTGAAAATAAAGACACATTTACTGTTGCGCTTACAATCTGTTATAATGAAAGAACCTTTAACAGCATCAGAAAACTTAACTTTGGACTAGTTGCTGTTTGTTTTGTATTGAAAAACAGTTTGAGAGTGATACCAAGTTTCATATTCCTATTATGAATTTTGGTGGTGGGAGCTTCCCTTTTGTTGATATTTGGAACATGGTTTGTGCCTTTAAATAACCAATATGATGATTAGTCTGTCTCCAACCTAATTCGATCTGGTGAGTCGTCTCTTTCTTTCTTTCTAAATCTGCTTATGGTATCGTCAATGGTGCTGCCAATTTTGTCGCTGATCTCCCCCAGCTTCTCGCTGAAGGGGAATTGCCCTTTATTCCTGTCGAAGTCGTCGTCCCACTTTCCCCGGCTTTCGCTGGAGTCGTATCTATCCCCTGCTGGAGGGAAATAATTCAAGTAGGTGGAAAAAGAGAAAAAAAAGAGAACATGAATTGAATTAAAACCCCAAAGTTTTTGTTAATTATCAGTCTGGTACAGTATATTACTCCTTCAACTGAGGACTTACCGTAACTTCGGTATCCCATACTGTCTGAGGATACCCCAATGAATTTGTCTTTGTTCTTCTTTGCCTTTTTCCGTTCTTCCCTAAGCCTGTCATCATCCTGGACAAAGTCCACCATCTCCTTCACCTTCTGACGCACATTCACACCTTGGTCCTTCCCATTCTCATCTATAGACAGAGAAATTTAAATAATTCATGAATTAGCTACTTTTTGTTTTAATTTTTACAATGTATTCAAACCACACACACACACACACACACACACACACACACACACACACACACACACACACACACACACACACACACACACACACACACCTGTACAGGGCGGGTCAAATGTTGTTTGTACATTAATTACACACATGGTTGGGAAGAGTGAAAGCAGCTTTAGGGCTGTGTGTGTGTGTGTGTGCGTGAGAGAGTGTGTGTGTGTGGTTTAAAGGTTTGTGGACTAAGCAGTGCTTAGGGCCTCCATCCATTCATTACAGCTCACACTGAAGCTATTGTTAATAAACACTAAACTCTACAATGCTGAGGTGTAGAGAGTGACCTAATCAAACCTAAGTTTAAAAAATGAAACCGCTTTTTTGTTTAGCATAGTCTGTTTACGTACCACTCTTCCAACAAATGAAGAGATGGTTTAAAAACAAGAGGAATGATACAGAGGGAAAAAAAACAGAATGATACCTTACCTACAAAGTGGTAGCTTTCTAATGATCTCAGGTCATACAGATGTTCTCTGGTACTCGTAACCACCCTCTCTGATCCATTCCTGATTAGATGGGCGAGCAGTAGCAGGGACTGAGAAACCAACACACAACAGTAGTTAGGAGCAGAAAGGGCTTATGGTTTGATTCTTAATTTTAATTTTGTTAGAGTCAATCTGACCTGTTTTCTCTCACATGGCCACAGTATGTAAACAATGTGAGTCATCCAACTGTTTGTATTCAAAACCAACTGTTTTTGTTTTGTGAATTATTTGAAGAAAAAAAAATTATAATTTCAATGAAAAACATCCCTCTTCACCTAACCTAAAGTTTTATTTATTCCTGCCTGTAAGTAATGAGCAGAAAATACGAAGTTAAACAGATAGCTAATTTTAAAAGGATTACCAGTCTGGTTAAAATTAAAGCCATGTTGGTCTGAGTGGGGTCTGGTTCAAAATGTTTAAATCAAAACTGTACTTAGTGCTTAAGCCTTCAAACCTTGCGTCATAATTAAACATGTGTGTTGATGGTACAGTACTGTGGCAGACCTTGTAGACTCTCCTCCAGTTCTTCTTGTTATCCCTCAGCATGCGTGCCCAAAGCATGTTCATCACCTCAGGGAACTGCTCATACATGAAGGTGGCTCTGATGACAGAAACATTCACAGAAAAATTTAAATGTATGGCAACAAACCTACTGGACGAGCTAGTTATTTTACAGCCTTTGACGACAGAGCCACCGGAAGTAAACTCAGGAAGTATCCAGGATCTACAGGTTCCTTATGCACATTTTGTGTTTGTGTATCAGTGCATCTCAATAACTGCAAGGATGAGGCAAATCAATGGAAAAAAATAAAAAATAAAATAAAAAAAGTTATGAATGTCGCTGCATGTAGCAAGACTGTACATTTAAAAAAGAGGTACAGGTCGTAGTCTTGTTTTTTGTAATTTACTGTTGTGCATCTGATATGTCTGAATTCATTGTAGGATAAGACATGCTGAGGTGGAAAAGGGAGTCTGAAGCAAACACATTGAGGTCAGGACTGTTAGTAATAGCAAGGATCTTTTCAGTATTCTGCCTGGTTCCTTTGCTGCGTTATTATGTAACCACACTGAAGTTACTTTTTTTTCTTTTCACTTGGTCAATTCAGTCTCTATTTGGGTACATAGTTATAATTTAAATGTCAATAAGAACAGAACAATTTAAAATTCCCGGGTCTGCCCTAATACTGATACTACAACCGGTGATTACAGCAGTTTGAATTAATGCTGCACACATGTTGTAGCAGTGGTGAAGCTTGTGTTCAGTATTGAAAACAGTAGAACAGTGGTTTCTGGTTGGCAGATAAATACTAACTTTGTAAACCGGGACTTTCGTGGGCAGGGCCAAAGAAGAAAAAACTTAAAATAGGTTCCTGCGGTCGAAAAGGAGGTTCTCTGAAAAATGTTCCTGCAAAACTTCCTGCTGTTGAAAAGGGCTAAAGATAATATTTCTACAATTTCATTTAATTTACAAATAACCTTGATGCTTTTGAGCAGGACATGTTGTACAACACAGTGCGTTGTTATTACCTTGAGATTTCAGTCATCAGCTGTCCTGATGGTCCCCACGGGTCATCATTGGTGGCCTCTCTGACTTTGGACTCCACCTCTGAATAGTTCATCACCACGTTGGTTCTATACAGCAGGATAAAAAAAAACAAGCACAAACATAATTTAATTAATTATGCCTATGAAAAGCATTATACAAGGCATTTGGCATTTTAGTTCAAAATATGTGGCCTCCACTGAAACCAACAAGGGTGATAGCAGATGAAAGGTACTCTCGTTACAGCCACGCCCATACACTTGTCCTTTTAGAGTCTAAAAGGGTTATGGGACAATAGGGAGTGTTTGTGTGTGTACTTTGAATCTAACCACTAGTCAAAAACAATGGACTAAAGAAGCAAATGCAAATCTGTGTTCACTCTCAACACATAAATGAGACCGAAAATGGCACTGATTGATACAGGGCTGTGCTTACTGTGGGGGAGATCTTCCTTGTTGACATTCTAAGAAACTAACTAGAAAAGAGAAAGGAAACTCAATAGGGAAAATACAGCACTACAAATAGCGGCTCTCAGGTTAACTGAGAGGTTGTTTTCTCACAGGACAGCAGAAGTACACTGTAACCAAATATGCATCTCATCCCAGATAATTAAGTGAGCCCTGTTACAGCTTTAGCCAAAGCATGGTGAGCCAAAACATTTGAACCCTGCCCCTCCTCATCCCTTCCTCACAACCGCCACATCAGCAATAAAATGTACAGGGCATGAAAGAGCAGCATTGGTTTGATGGATGGAGAGATACACACTCCCTGTGTTTTTTGGAGACAAGCTATAGAACTACTACAAGCTGTAGGGTATTGGTTACCACTCTGACAACATACTTTCTTTTGTGAAAATGTAGTCTATGCCAACGAAATTATTTGAAAATAACCATGCCAGGTGCTTTTTCACAGCTGTTTAAAATAAACCTCCAAGATGGACCATGGTTACAGTAACTTTATGTGCTGAGAAATCCTTAAAATATATATCATATCACATATCATACTACGCTCAGTTCAGTCCCGGACAGGACTAAATCTGTGTTTAGGAAAGTGCTAGTAGTTTCATCTAGTTTTGACGAGTGTTTTTGATTACTCTGTCTAGCTACTTTACTGATACTGCAACAAGTTTCATGTTTGCATGAATGACATGTAAAACACAACAGGACATGATGTAGTGATTTAACATCTTATCTCTTCACAGCGTTGGCCCGTGTCCTAGATATCAGACAGATAAAACGGAAGTTGTGATACTTTCTCACAGTGACACACATTTCCGTTTGATGGCTGTAGTGCTGTATATGTCAAAAAATTTCCCTAGCAGTTACTCATGAACCCAATTGTATTTTCTGCTTCATATAATACATGTTGCCTTCATTCACTGCAAAATCGATTTTGCATTTGCTTGCATGCCTCCACAAAAACTTCACCTTTAGTCATACAACTACAAGTGCCACACGGTTAGTGTGAATGACTTACAGCTTGGTGGCCCTTTATGAACACCATTTTTAATTTGCCCCGTCAATACAAAAACACAAGCGCTTTCATCACTCTTGCTATTAAAGAAAGCAGGATGAAAATAAACATGGAAAGCCCCTTGCCTCTAATCTTTGAAACTGGCATCTTTTCTCCTCTCTCTCTCTCTTATAACCCATGTACCAGGGGGGTCACACTCCAGGGAGACAAATGTGTTCAGCAGGAATGCATTCTTGGGGGGGCGGGGGACTTAAGAACACGCTATTGTCTGGGTGTGCAAAATTAGCCATTAAACCTCTGAAGGGAAGAAAACTTGTGCAATAGCCTACCACAGCCCTACAGTACAGGGCAGCATGCTCACATTTAGTCAGCGACAAAAAGTAAACCAAGAGTCCGCAGCAGAACAAAAGACGCACAATCCCCCGAGGTGTTGCACAAGCTCAGTGATGGCTGGTATATAATTTCAGGTGCTAAAGTACTTCTGCTGGCCGTACAGGCCTGGACTGACACTGCCATAAAAACTATGCAAAGACCCATTATGACAGTGTACGAATTTGTCAGTGTTTGTACATTTTGCCAGCGTGTTACCTGACTATTTACTTCTTAATCAAAAGACTAAGGAGAGGTAAACAGTAACTGACTAGTCTGTCTAGTTAAACTTAAATCATCCAAATTGTGTGCACTTAAGCAAGCAGCTGGACAGCCACCAACAAGTTGCAAAACACTGCCGGATCAATGGTCACTGATTAATAAGCAGCCTCTTGTGGCGCTGTTGTTTATCTCATTCTTCTTTGATGTTACATATCACAACAAAACGACCATGTAGTACCATATATAGTGATTTAACAAACTTATTTGATAAGACTGCTGTATATTACAGATTGGATTAACGTGTCGTTTAGCCTGCAAAAACAAAAAAAAGCTTTTATACCGTTTTGAAAACCTTGAGGTCTTTTAGTTTAAGTTGTCCAACTTGTTCCACTTGTCAAGCAATCTAGTGTGTAAGACAAACAATTGGGCTGTGAAGTAATCCCACTACAAGTACTCCAATAACTTTAACCACGGATTTAACTTACAGTACAGCTTCTGTAACGTTGAGTCTAACTCTGCTACAAGTGTCATAACAATCATCCCGGAGAGTAACTTTAACACATTTTTACACTCAATTAAGTTTTTAAAACACTCCCAAATAGTAGTAGCCAAGCCACGGTAGGACAATATGTAGAGTTACACATCCCCAGTTGAGTATACAGCCCCGGAGCTGTCAAACTAGCTTAGCTGGCTAGCCTGGTCCGGTAGCCACCTAGCAAGAAGGCTAGATAATTAGCTAGCGTGTTAGCTTGCAATGATCGGAGATAACGCGCGAACAACAAGCGCCTTCATCTCAAAACCGTGCGGATGTCGTCTCACAATAGCCACATAACCGAGTGAGATACGTGTAACAAAGAAGGAGGGGGGGGGTCGCTTGAGACAAACAAGTGTTTGTTAAAGTCGGCTAAACTTAACTCGCTAGTAGCATACGGGGGCTAGCTCACTTGTAGAGCGAGGTGACGTCAAAGTTTTGGGTACGTGTCTCTCTCTCTCGAGCAGGTAAACTACGGGCACAAACTACACGACACGGACAAGACTGGAGTCGGGGGGATACTTACGCTTTGTCAACCAACTCCCTAACCTTCCACATGTTCAGCATCTTGGCTCCGTGAAAAGGGGGCTTTGTGCCTCGGCAGACCCTTAACTCCAGACGAAACACCGACACCAAACCTTGAACTCTGGAAAGTAAACTCTTCTTCACCTCCCTTTCAAGACAGGAGGCGCAAACGCACCACCAGGCGCAGACAGGAAAGGTTACTACGGGAAATGCCGCCGTCACGTCATCGACAGTTGCGTAAAGCAGCATTGGAGTTGTAGTTTTTTTGGGGTTTTTTTTTTTTTTGTTACTCAACAGGCGTGACACTTTAAGGACATTAGCACCTTTTAAATGGATACAGAAACAGCTGTAAACTTGGTAGGGGATTATTGGGTGCAGGTAAAAACAATAGAGAGAGAGAGAGAAAAAAAAAAAAACAGCTGCTGGAGGAATAGTTTAGTTTAGTTTCATTTTAATGATTAAAAACATCCAGACAAAATGTTATTGTTTAAAAAGTTTTCCTAATTGGAAAAAGTAGCATGTTTAAATATTACCTGTCTTTAGGCCAACAAGCAGTCAAAATGTGGTTTTGCATGGGTCTCGATCATACAATATACAGGTATTGTGGTTTATAATGTTGGTTTTGCCATTATCCAGTATAGTATGACTGACATTTGGTATTGTCTTATTGTTGCATTATATATATTGCTGTGTAGAGTTGATAAGTAGAAAAATATTGCGTTAAAGAAATACCAATATATGTCCGAGGTAGTTTCAATTGATGATCGAATTGATGACATTACAGTTTGTGCATCAGACATCACTGACAAGTTTATGTTTTAAAGTGTCAAATTTTCTTAAAAAAGGGGGAAAAAACTAATCAAAACCAAAAAAATTTAAGAGATCATTATCAAAATGGGTTATGTGTTTATATAGAACATTAATATAAGTTACGATATATTATGTTTAAACTTTCAAATATCAATCTACACTAAACAAATATCTTTTGGGCTATATTATCCATAAAAGATAAATTTCTAATGTTTTATTCTCAATTATTATTTGTTTGACAATAATCTCTCTGCTTCCACTTCACACTGCTAATTCTGCTCTGTTGTAAAAGCCTGTCCTTTTTGTCTAAATGTCGTTCCAGCTTCACCAAAACTATAGCCTACATCATCATCAGCAGGTCACCACCCTGTGTGTTCTCCATCCTTCCTCATCTGGCATTCAGGCATGCTACAATGACCCAGTGATGCTGTGTGACAGGCCAGGCTGGGCACTGGCTGTTTGTGTCAATCCAGATCAATCACTCCCTCTTCTGGACGGACAACGCCATCAACGCACAGAAAGGTCACAGGGTGTACTCAAGCCAGGCCTGATGTGGTGAGCAGGGAGGTCAGTATAGCAAGTGAACACCCTTGACAGAGTGAGTGTCATCTTAAGTAGACACAGTCAGCTTATGAGTAAGAAAAAAATGTTCATTTTTTTTGTAAAGGATGAATTAAATGATTGGCTGTGGTCAATTCCTCCAACTTGAAATGTTTTTTGATTCTCCTGTGACAGGGTGTATACCAAAAGTATTAAGACTCTTTGTTGTATTGATTGATATTCCAGTGGGCAAGATAAGCCCTCAGATGCCCCTGCACCTGACAGGGTCTCTATTCTCTAATGATACGTGTAAATATGGCCCACGGCTTACACTTCTATAGGAGAGCAGGAAGAAACAACACAATAGCCAAAATACAACCCATTTGAGAAAAAAACAACAAGAAACAGCACTTAACGGCCCAGAATGCACCGCACCCATGGGAGCAACCTCAATTACTGTTACACGTCCGAAGAGGAGAACTCTAGGAGAAGTGATTGCTGAGATGGAAATGGCTGTATGTGTGTTTGTGCATGCGTGAGTGTGTTTTTGTGCGAGTGTTTGGGTTGAAGGAGGATGGATAGAAAGGCACTCAGTAAAAAGATCTTTCAGAAACACTTTGCCTCAGTGACGTTGACGCGAGCTGTTGATTGACATGCACTTCTCGACAGAAACCAGAACTATCAACCTATCTGCCACGCATTAAGAATGGCACGGTCCTTTGGGAGGGGCCTAAGTGGTAAATGATGTTGCTCAAGACACGCTCTGTCAACAATGTGTGTGTATTTGTGAGTGCTGAGGATGGCAAAGTATTCAATCAAAGCTTTGATTGAAAAGCCCCTGTGTCCTTAAAGATCAGCTTTCTGTACACTCATGTATAGGATGTATGTGTGAGGGGTGAGTCTTTGTTTTAAATATAGTATGGTGTTGTGCAGTCTGGGACAAAAAATAGCTGGCAGAAGGCTTAATTGTAAAAGTCTGGTCTCAAACAATATTTGTGCAATTAAACTGTGCTGAGTTTTAATTTTAAGAAAGAGAGATGCAAATACATTCTCTGTAAGACAATCTTGTAGACCCGTGTTCTGTCTTTGACTATGGAAAAAAAATGTCAGCCTTTCCTTGATATTTCATATTTTATAACCACATTCCATTCATCATCTTCCTCTTTGGCTGATCATCAATTTGGTCTACAGAGACCAAGTTGTCACTAACAACTTTTGAGTTGAAGGAGATGAAAAAAGTAAGCCAGATAAACACTGTGTAGTTGTAACACAAGCAGCACTAGGGGGCACTCTGACTTTTCTGGTTCTGGAGACTGCTGAGTATTGCACAGGGGTGAGTGTGTTCAACGTCTGTGCGCATGTGAGTGTGTGTCAGTCGGTGCAACCACTGGGGGTCGAGGCTGTGTGTTTACATGGCTGAAGTTCCCATGACAAACGTGGTCAGAACATCATTTCAGCTTGGGAATGTGCACAAAAAAGAGGCAGCCTCTACAACGCTATTATTCTTTCTCTACGAACATGTGCTTCCAATCTCTTGAAACTCACTGTGCTTTTTTTTTTCTTTGCAGTTTTACAGTGTCATTAGAAAACAATGTTCTTTGTTTTGCACATTAGCTACGAATTAACGCTCCCGCCCATCTTTGTGCCCGCAGAAGAGGTTCAGATCTGTGGAGTCACTCGCTGGGGCCCAGCTTTCCTCCTGTCAGAGCGAGGGTTCTTTCACTGCTGTTATATTTCAGGCTGTTATTGTTGGCCCTCTTGCAGCCTCGGTAAGATCTTTAGTCCTTTTCCCAAGCGATATAACCCCCACACACATCACACAGTATCTGACCCCTGTCTCCATGACACATGACAGGTCCACTGTGGTGCGTGTGTGTGGGCATGTGAGCAAGGACTGATGTGTGTGCATTTATCTGGTGTGTATGCTTTCATGTAAATGTGTAGTAAATATGTGTGTGCGTGCAGCATAATGTGTGCAAGTGTACAGAGCATATCTGGCACAGTATGTAAGTATTGAATATGCTAAAACAATGAGGCCACTTGTCACATGTTCAAAGTCGCGCAGACAACCCGCTGTGATCTCAAACCACACACACAGATGTTCCTAATGGGACTAAAGTAGTATTCACATTCTTGTGGATAACCAGTCTGTTTATTTTTCTCTCTAAACTGGACTGGATTGCCACTTTCCCTGGTGAGAAAAAGGATGGAAGATGATAAAAAAAATAAGAAGAGGCTGATGAGAGAGGCTCCCACCACAGTTTAGACCCCCAAAGCCAACTGTCAGTACTGCTAAACCAGCAAACCTCAGCCCCGGTGATTTAAGGGTGACAGTAATTCAGTGTATAATGGAAGTTGATGCCAATGTGCAATACTTTGCAAGTCAAAACTGCTGTTGTCTTATTCTCCTACATGAAGAAATGAGCTTGGTGTAATTGTGAAGGCTTATGTTTATGAGTCAGGATGATACAGTAAATCCTGTTGCTTTGTAGAGGGGCGAGAAAGCATACACATACACACAGAGAAACCCACACAGGTACGCTCAAGTCCTGAGAGCATCTGCTCCTTTACAACCAGATTGAATTAGCAATTACAGAGAGTAAAAACCAGAACAAAACATCTGGAGCTGTAAGCAGCAGAGGTTATAAATCTGAGAGGGAGAGGGGGGTGGGGGTTATGAAAATGAGCCAAAGTGAGATTCTCAAGGACAGTGTCTCTGATTGGCCCATTAACATGCCAGGGGTGTCAAAAAGGACCCGAGGCAATGGGAGAAATGGGACAGAGCAGAGGGCTTTAGAGGGCATATGGAACACCAGTGAATGGAGAGGTAGAGCGTACAGGGGAGAGCACAGGAGAGGGCCAGTGAGATACTGCAGGGGAGTGAAATGCAGTTTTAGCAAAGATAATACAACGGAGGAGATAAATGGATGTTGTTTGTGTCTTGAACCTCCTCACAGGAAATCATCCCGATAAGACGGAAAGCTGTGGAAAAGCTGAGGGGAAGTTGTGAAAAAAGGGGTGTTTGGAAAAAGACCTGGAACTGCGTGAGTGCAAGAATTAAGAAAGAGAGGCAGAAGATCACCACTGTGCCAAACCATAATCATGTTTGGACACAGAATAAATACTTCAAGTAAATGTGAGGCCGGGTGTTCATAAATGTATTTTAACAATTATATCCAGTTTGGTTTAAGTCCATATAAATGTGAGGTTGGAAAGCTGGAGTACCATTACCACATCTGTTTTTGCTATTATTGGCACAATAAATTACGTAGGCAATTTGTTTGCGCGGTTGTTAGAGTAATAGAATCAAATTATCCCATGTTAGGGAAATGATTATGTACGAAGCGGAACCCATCAGGGATTCACATGGCAATCAGTGAAGTAAGACAGAGCTGAAATGTTGGCGCTCTGCACATCAACTGTTCCAGGTCCACTACGTAATTTGAAAGAACTTCTCAACCTCGGATAGGAGATGATTGTACCTGGTTCACACAGACTGTTTCGCCCACTAATCTGGCAACGCTAAGAGTGCTAAGTCAGTGTAGAACCACAGTAAATCTCCAGTACAACATCAACCCACTGGAGCTTTATGAAAAAGCACAGAGTGAGATAGGAGCAGAGTCATAATTGAAAGAGCCTGACACAAGCGAAATGAGAAGTGTTCGGAATGAAGGACAATATCAAATGAGTCTTATCAATTAAAAGTCAGGGAATGGTGTTTACATTCCCACTCCAAGGCCAGACACTGGGTGGATGTTTCAAATAGGTCAAGGTTGAAGTGAAAACAAAAGTTAGTCGATTAGCAGTCGAGGTGCAACATTCCTACTTTGTATGCTAATC